ATTGTAGCTTTTGTGATTGGATAGACCTTAGCAGGCCACTCCACTTCTATTTAGGAGTCCGTTCTCGCCTATGAAACATCAAGAGCCACATTGTTTAACATGAGAGCTCCTGCAAACGGGTCATCTGAAAGTAAACAGCATTTTCTGCCAACGTGCCGTTTAGGATCAGCTTGCCAGAGAGAATGGGTCTCCCTGTTTTCAGCGCATTCCCATATAAGAGCCCAGCAGAGAGCAGCTGTCAGCTGTCCCTGCTTCAAATTTCTTCTTGCCGACAAATGCACCTTATAGCAAATTCCCACTTTCTTTGTGCTAGTCATAGTGATCTACCTCGCAGGGTACTTGTTGGGATAACTCAGAATATACCCAGAGTACTTTCAGTTTGTTAAATGCAACAACAGCCAGGCGGACAGGTGGTCTTTTCTAAAGCCAGCATTGAGATGCTCTTGCTTAGCTGGGAGATTCTGCAATACCGTCTGAGCAGGGGCGAAGAACCCGAGGGCCACATTCATTTCTGGGAAATCTCCTAGGGGCCACATTTCACTGACGGATGGGGCCAGAGGCAAAAGTGGGCGGAGCCGTAGTGTAAGCTTTATGCAGGTACAGTAGTAGGCTAATCTCTATATGCGCTCACACATTCTTCCCCATCCACTACCCAGACAAGCCAGAGGCATTGTCATAATTCATGGAGCCATTCCAGCCAGTGAGTGATGTGACTTGAGGAGGGTCCTAAGGGCCAAACAGAGAGGCTTGGGGGCCATGTTTGGCCCCTAGGCCTGAAGTTCGCTCAACCCTGCATAGAAAGGAGCAACAAATTGTCAATTCACCGTGGTAGCACCTGAGGAGGATTTCTGATTTCACAGACCCTCCAAGTGCCCCTGCTTTGCCAGAGACAGCCCTGGATTTACAGAAGCCGTCCTGGTTCCTGGTTTGATCCCAGAATGCCTCACTTTTACTTAGGACGACCCTATTTCCATCAGAGAAATGTGGGAGGGTGTGGAGTTGTGCTACTCCTGAGCCAAGGAAGATGAGTGAAGGCAGTCCTGTACAGTGGTACCTCGGGTTAAGAACTTAATTCGTTCCGGAGATCCATTCTTGACCTGAAACTCTTCTTAACCTGAGGTACCACTTTAGCTAATGGGGCCTCCTGCTGCTGTGTGATTTCTGTTCTCACCCTGAAGCAAAGTTCTTAACCCAAGGTACTATTTCTGAGTTAGCGGAGTCTGTAACCTGAAGCGTCTGTAACCCGATGCACCACTGTATAGGGAAGGTTTTTCAAAAAAATGTTTTGTTGTGTTTTTATATCGTAGAATCATAGAATTTTAGAATTAAGGGGCGCTGAGGAGAAATGTTGGAGGGTGTGATATCAAACGGCTTGGACCCACCTATAGCTGGTCTCTTTCCCTGGCAAGCCAATTGATACCAGTTGTTCTGTGTGATTCGATGCCAAGGGTGAATATTTTTCAAAATGGCTCCCTTCTGCCCTAAAACATAGACATACACAGTGTGAAAGAGATATAAAGCAGGCTTGGGGTTCTTGTTGCCTTCCATCATCTGATTGCTGTTGGGTTCCTAACTCCCTTCAGCCTCAGTGCCTTGAGGGCACAGGTTCCTCATCCTGGGTACAGAGGCTCTTCTACGATGTGAGAAAAAGGTTTATGCCTTGCTGAGCCTCTGCAAAGCCTTGTGCTGCTTTAACTGTATGTGTTTTTAGGCCGTGCCATCCAGTATAAGCAAATACGAATGGTTTAGAATAAACTGGGCATCTCTTTGTAGAATGCAACGTATCATTTGAGCGAGAAATCTTGGCCTCTGCTGAATTGTAATTGCTCTGCCACATAAACCACAGGGCAAAGGCACAGCTGCACAATGTGGATTTGTGTGTGTATAAAATATATACGTATACACTAAGAGCTGCCTGGGGAAGGAGGGGAAATGACTTGTCAAGCAGGAGCAGCTTCTGTTAATTGCCGTTTGGAAGAACCCAGCAGATGGCTTCTGCCAGTGCCTGCTCTGAAAGTCACAGGCGTCTTGAGTTTGCAGGGTTGCATGAGTGTGTTCGGTTTAGGGTTGGAGGTAGTGGCGAGTCTTTGAAATATCGTGGGCTACCAGGCATCCGGTTAATGAAGCTGCATGGTATGATCTTGACCTTGGGCTCCTTGCAATCATTATCAAAGCTCCCTTTGACTTCGGTGGGCCAGACTGGGTGCCTGCCTATGCATTGCAGAAGCTGCAATTGACTTCCATTGAAAGCACACAAGCCGATTGTACCGGGTTCACTAGCACAAGCGCTATGCCTGATAATTATTATTAAATAATCTGGGAAAGTAGCCTTTCCTCCACCCCTCCCTGCAGGCTCGACAATCACAAGTCTGTCCCTTCTTAAGTGTGGTTGTTGGTAAACAGTTTAGTGAAAGATGTTTTCATCAGGCCGGGAAGAAAAAGCTGCCACTACCTTGGTAAATTTGCCTGAGCAAATAAATTTCATAACTGACAGTTTGGGCAGCAACTGTGTCCGCAGTGGTGATCAGCTTTGTGCATACGATTGCTTATCAAAGGCAGGTTTTCTTTCTTTCTTTAAGAATGAATATCAGTGTTTTGAAAGCATGGGATGCTCTCTCACAAAATCCATTTCTTTTAATACACAGTTGTGTACGGCATTGCGATTCCGATCCATGTTGGTAGGCAGGCCACATAGCTATGGAATATCTGCTGGGGAGAGTTGTTCAGTTTGCCATTTGTCAGGGTTGAGATGTGCAACAGGACTCCATTCACAAATGCTTCCCACAAAGAATCTGGTGTGCTGTGTAGTTTGTTGTTAGTAGATTCCTATTGACTATCACACCAACTTGCTTACTGTAGCTCTCCTAACAACTCACTGCACCATTAACAAACTATGCTTGCCAGGGAAGTTTTTAATGGTTGATGTCTTACTGTGTTTTTAATATTTTGTTGGGAGCTGTCTGGAGTGGCTGGGGCAACCCAAGATCGGATGGGTGACATCATCATCATCATTATTATTAAAGTGGTGTAGTACTTCAAATATTTATTTGATTTGATTATTTTATCTATTAAAGTTATATGCCACGCTTCATTCGAGGATCGTAGGATTCATGAAAAATACATACTACAAACTACAAACAATAGCCCTGCTCCAGTTTAAAAGGCCATAGATTGTTTATGCTGTTTTTTTTTTTTGTAGCATCAATTAAGTGTTTTAAATTTGTTGTTAGCCACCCTGAGCCTGGTTTCCTGAACCGGGAAGGGCGGGGTATAAATAAAAATTTATTATTATTATTATTATTATTAATCAGCCAAAAGCCTGAGAGAAGAGGAATGTTTCTGCCTGACACCTAAATATATGCAACAGAGGGCCTTCTCGGTAGTGGCGCCGGCCCTTTGGAACACCCTCCCATCAGATGTCAAGGAAATAAACAACTATCTGGCTTTTAGAAGACATCTGAAGGCAGCCCTGTTTAGGGAAGTTTTTAATGTTTGAAGTTTTGTTCTGTTGGAAGCCGCACTGAGTGGCTGGGGAAACCCAGCCAAATGGGCAGAGTATAAATAATAAATTATTATTATTTATTATTATTATTTATTATTAATGAAGGTGCCAGGCAAGCCTCCCTGGAGAGAGCAATCTACAAATGGGGAGCCACAACAGAAAAGGCTAGTTCTCCTGTTGTCACCCTCTCATGAAGGGGGCACACGAAGAAGACCCTCAGATGATCATCACAGGTTCTGGGTTGGTTCATATGGAGAGAGGCGGTCTTTGAGGTATTGTGGTCTTCAGCAATTTAGGATAGATGCTAGAGACAAGCACACATTTTTCTTTGTTAATTGTTAGATTGACCTCTAATGAAGGTCAAGGTGGCAAACATGGTTCTCCTCCTCACAACCCAGCGAGAGGTTGAGTTGAGAGAGCTTTGTGGCTGAGCAGGGGCTTGAACCAGCTCTAGCAGGTTCTAGTCCACCATTACCTCACTAAGCTGTGCACACCTTGCTCATGTATTGCAGGTACCAAGGTAGGTTTGATAACACGCTGTAGGAAATGTCTCGTGTGCAGAACAGTACAGTGGTACCTAGGGTTACAGATGCTTCAAGTTACAGACTCCGCTAACCCAGAAATAGTACCTCGGGTTAAGAACTTTGCTTCAGGATGAGAACAGAAATCGTGTGGCTGCAGCGAGGGGGCCCATTAGCTAAAGTGGTACCTCAGGTTAAGAACAGTTTCAGATTAAGAACGGACCTCCAGAATGAATTAAGTTCTTAATCCCAGGTACCACTGTATGTGTTTGTAGCGTGGCTTTTAGCAAAAAGAATAAACACCTCTTGGCTTTAAATCAAGTGTGGATAAGCTCTTGTAAACACATGACAGTAGCCGACATTTAGCAAGGAGTCTTCAGCAATATGTAACAGGGGAGGCAACGATGACCTTTTGATATGAGAATTGGGGAAATGTTCATTCGCTGGCGGGTATGAGAAAGTTGTAGGTGTTACAAGAAAGGAGATTCTGACTAAACATACAGAAAACGTTTACACTCGGGAGATTGTAGACTCTCCTTCCTTGGAGGTTTTTAAGCAGAGGTCGGATGGCCACCAGTCGTGGATGCTTCAGCTGAGATTTCTGCCTTGCAGGGGGTTCGACTAGATGACTTTATGAGGTCCCTTCCGACTCTCCAATTCTACGAATAAAAAGTGCATGAGAGTGCAATCCAATGCACAATATCTTCAACGGGGCTTACTCCAAGGCTTACCTCTGAGAAGACATGCTTTTGGGTTGCACTGTGGACAAACTTTTAAAAACGTTTGTTGTATTGTAATTATATTATTAAAGTTGTAGTGCAAGAGGTTTTTCTCTCTGCAGTTTGGCCAGGATAGACACACACACACATTTGGTCTCTTTCTCTCAACCCATATATTAGTGAGAAGAATAAAATGAATATGGGCTTATTGGCTACAGTAACAGAAGAAATCCGTGCGTTGCCAGAAGAGGCCACATGAAAGAGTGTGTGTGTGGTTGGTGTGTGTGTGTGTGTGTGTGTGTGTGTGACTGTGTGTGTGTGTTTGGGGAGCGGGGGGGGGGTGGGGAATCGAGAAGGAGGATGCCTTCAGCTCCTTGCACTGGAGAGCTGCGATTTGTGCGTGGAACATGATGAAATCTCCCCCTGGACAAATCACATCGAGGCTGTCAGCCACTCCAGGTGGGATTAGCTGCAGCTAATAGACTGAGCAAACAGAGTCCTGCGCTCAGTTTTAAAGAAAAAGAGAACCCACTGTGGAGGCTTTTCAAGAATCCTCTTGAGCATGGCTAAGAAAAACGGTCTCCAGTTACATCAGGTAGGAGCGGGGTTTCTTTAAGGAGGAGTAAAGCGACCTCTCTCTCTCGAGGGTGCTGGTGGGGGGAGACCTTGCGCGAAAAGAAAACGCACTTAGGGAAGTCCGAGATGGTTAATATTCTGAAGTTTCAGACTCGGTCAGCTTGCTTTTCCAGCAGTTAGGAATTGTGGGCAAAGGGGAATATGTTGAAACTGCTGGTTTATTCTATTTTAATTGTAAATGTATTTTAAAAAAACAAAAAGCAGATCGGCTCCTGGGTGGTTTATTAACTCCAGCTCTCTCTCTCTCGCCTTGTTCCCAGGTAATATCCTTCTTCACTTTTGCTGTTGGGGTGAACGTGTGCATTGGATTTACGGCCAATAGAGTCCGGAGATCTGGCGAAGGGGAAGAGTTCCCATTTCCAGGTACAATGATGATTTAATTTGCCCGTTTTGCAACGCCTTGATGTATCGGGGTGAAGGAGCAAATGGCTCCAAAATGTAGTTTTCCTGTGTCCCCCCTCCCTCCCGTTCTGGATTATAGCAAAGGTTATGTGAAAAAGCCTGAGTCTGTTGACATTCTTGCTTATAGGTAACCTATTTACTTCTCTCTCTGCGTGTGTGACATAGAGAAAGAGAGAGAGAGAGAATGAGACCATATTTAATTATGGTCTGGGGTGATATAGGGTTTTGTGTGTGTGGTTACATGGAACAATGCATTCTGTCACTTAACAAAAAAATTATACATACACCGACTGCAGCAGAAAATAAAAGTGAAGAGGGGTGGTTTATTTAAAGATATGCCCTGTCTACCCCTCTGGCGCTGCAATTCTTGTTTGATTGGGACCAGTTTGTGTTTACTGATGGAAAGAGATTTCCTATTATCAGCGAATCACGCTGACTTCTGAACTAGCAGAGGAAATTTTGGGAGGCCAGGGTGGGGGAGAGGAAGGGGGACTGAGGAAAACAGGTGCTGCACAAAACAGATGTTCTCTAATGGTTAGGTTTTCGTTTAAAGTTGCATGGTGTTAAATTTCAAGAGGGATTAAAAAATGCACGCAATACATATTTTCAGATGTGGAAAATGGGGCAGTGGGTGTGCTTTGCCTTATCTGTGCTGTGACTGCAGCCATGTGCATGTTTACTTGGAAGTAGGACCTGGTGTGTACAATGAGGCTTATTCCCAGGTAACTGTACATAGGATTGCATTCTACATATCCTCCAGCAAATGAAAATGGGGTGTTTGTCAGCACTTCCCTAAATCTCATAACATCGCAGCGTTGGAAGGGACCTCAAGGATCATCAAGTCCAACCCTATGCAGTGCAGGGATATGTAGCTTTCCTATATGGGGATCGAATCTGCAATATCTTGGCACTATCTTGATCATTGCCCTCCCCTATTATATATTGCTAATGGCTCATTGCTGGATGTTGAATACTCTGTGTTTCCAGTAGCCTGTCCACACTGATTTAAAAGGGTGTTTGCTGTTTTAGCTAAAAGCTGTACTAGAAAACACAATGGGAGGTGGCTTCTAGCATGGCAATCAAATAGAATCTCCATGGTTAAAAGCAGCATACTGCTGAATATCATTTTTGCTAGGGGAAACATGAGGCAGGGAGGGCTGTTCCCTTAAGGACCGGGTTAGACCAAGGACCTATTAAACTTGTTATCTTGTTTCTAATGATGGCTAGCCAGATGTCATTGGGGAACCCTCTGCCACCCCCCTTTTGTCTGACCCCAGCAGCTGGTATTTGGGGGTACATGGAAGCTTATGCTTATCAACTTCCGAGAGGCTTTTGTTGACCACTGTTAGAAGCTCAGCCTCCATTTCCTCCTTGTTCTGCAAAGTAGATTTCAGACCTTTATGCCCACATGGCTCAGTTAGTAGAGCATGAGACTCTTAATCTCAAGGTTGTGGGTTTGAGTCTCACACTGGGGGAAAAAAACCCCCTGCATTGCAGAGGGTTGGACTAGATCACCCTTGCGGTCCCTTCCAATTCTACATTTCTAAGGTTCTAAGATTACATATCTGCCCTTCCTTCAAGGAGCCCAAGGTGGCATTCATGGTTCTCCTCCTGAATTATATCCTTGCATCAATCCTGTGAGATGTACGGTAGGCTGAGAGATGAGCTTCATAACTGAATGGGGATTTAAATTCTGGTCTCTTGGGTGTGAGACCAGCTCTCAACACACAGTATCTCATTCTAGTCCCGTGTTTCCATCCTTTCAGATCTGCAGTTCTCAGTGTTTTTCAGAACTGTTGACTCCATACTGCTGTCACTTTTCTGCAACCCATTAAACTCATACCTTTAACCTTTGAGTATATTACCTGAAAGTGACTTTAAAGTTTCAGAGAATTCGCTGTTATTTAGAGTGGCAAGTGTTAATAATTAGAGAAGTTGAAGATGGATTGTTTCATCCATAAAAAGTTTTGTGGGGGAACTTTCTGGCTGTCAACTACCAATGTGATTACAAATGTCTATAGTGTCCTTAGATCTTCAATGTTCCCTTGTGGACCTTTCCGGTGGACGCAAACATGCCCTCGTTTCGGCTGCAGCATCCTCTTTCGTTTTTTAAACTACCCCAAGCCTGTTTGCGTTTGAGAAGCAGAAACTGCAGCCAAGTTGCTGTTTATATTGCAGTGGTGTGTAAGTGTAGGTTTGTTCGCTTTCCTTGCCAAAGTTGTTTCTAACGTATCAAAGTAATGGAAGCAGGATGTAGAAAACTCGAGATCAGAAAGCCTTGTGTTCCAGCATCATAAATGGGAGAACTGAACGATGGTCTGTGAAAAGGAGGGCGTGCTGTTCTGCTGGATGACTTGCGTCTAACTGGTAACAAATGCTCTGATCAAAGGAGCCTTCTTCAGGCTCTGATAAGCACATATGATTCCTATTATTAGTAATGGAAGTTGCAGATGGGGCAGAGCCTCTTATAAACGGCAAGTTGGACGTTTGCGGCAAGAGGCCTCCTGCACCTCTGCTGAGTTGGCTTGTGCATTTAAGTACTTAACATCCCTTTTGACCAAATTCTGCTGTCTGATCCATCTGTTTTCTAAGCTCACATGGAAAATGTTTTCTCCAGCTGTTGCAGAAGATAGCCTGCACCGTCCTTGCAGGTGCTGGATACAGTGCTTGCAAAACACACACACACACACACACACAAACACCCAAGCATATGGCCAGAGTTATTAAAACAGCCCAGCTGACATTGGAAGGTTACTGCTTTCTGGATGCTAACCACCTTTCGTAAAGGGGCTTTTAAACAGTACCCCCGGCTGCATTTTGCTACTCTCTTTGCTAACAGAGTCTGAGCTGTGTGGAAATGTGTGCTGAAAGGTTGCGGCAGCTTGGCATGGCTTGCAATATACCTTGAGCAGTTTTCTTGACTTGCACATGTCGTGGGTGAGATTTTCCAAGTTTCTCGTTTGTCTGTTACATTTACTGGTAAAGGACAATGCGACCGAGAACAGCCTTTTTGACTCTCTCTCCCTTTAAAGTCGCTCATTTAGATATAGGCATTATATTGGCTTGTTAAACCTACATTTTCATGGCCACCAGATGAGTAGTTTTATTGTGGCTAGCACCTTAAGTACTGGGAAGTTTTAAACACCAAAGTGAACCTGGATCTTTGTGTCTCTCCTGCGTGCTTTGGAGCAAAATAGTAATCTCTGCTGCTTGAAAGTATGTGCCTTACTGGCGCTGCATTATTATCAGTATGCAAATTATAGTGGTGTGTTTTTATGCCATGCATCATGACCTTACCTGTCTTTTTTACTGCATTTTTGCAGATAGGAAACTGCTGATCTATACGTTTGTGAAACCAGCCGTAGTTTTGCCCTTGACTTTTCCCTCTGTGGTGATACAGGAGACTGTAATGTTCAGCAGTATTCGTACTGTGGATGTTTGTGCATAGCAGTTGATTTCTTGTGCCCTAGTCCTGTAAGGTAAACCGATATTACACAATCGCCCCAGGTGGGAGAAGGAGACCAAGCAATGCTATTTAAAGCTTATGTAGCTACCGTATATAGTCAGCTCCTTGGGCCCATCTAGCCTCGTATTTTGTCTTTGCTGACGGCCTGCAGCTCTCCAAGGTCTTGGGAGCAGCATCTCCCAGCCTTTAAACTGGAGATTGAACCAGGACCCCCTCCTCACAGAGCCCATTTGTCAGTAAAAAGCAAGTAGCTGTTATTAAAAGGAGTGATTCTTACTGTTTCGGCCCCTTCCCTACCATAAAACCAAGGAGGCATTATTAAAAGGATTGATTTGTATCGTTAAACCACTTTGCATTGCCAGGAGTGGGGCTTGGGTTTTCTCTGCCTGCAGAATACTGCCATTTAGCAGCATGGGCAGTCTAGATCTTGCAGAATCTTTTGGCTCACCCAAAGCCTTTGTATAGACCATTGCATGTACTAGAGAACTTGAGCTGTTAAGAACGTTTGTTATGAATGAATAGCACTTTTCTTTTACCAAACCCATGTCTGTTGGGCTCAATTCATATGTTACCTTCATGGCTGCTGCTGCCACAGACCCTACTCCCTTACAGAAGTATAGTGGTACCTCGGGTTACAGACGCTTCAGGTTACAGACGCTTCAGGTTACAGACTCTGCTAACCCAGAAATAGTACCTTGGGTTAAGAACTTTGCTTCAGGATGAGAACAGAAATTGCGCAGTGGGAGGCCCCATTAGCTAAAGTGGTACCCGCGATGTCATCTAGCGAACTCTGAGGGCAACCCATGATGTCATGTGCTGTATTTGCCACCCTCTGTAGGGACTTCCTGTCCGTGGCTGTCAAACCAGTGTACCACACTGTTATAGAGTATGAAAGGACACTTTCTATTGTGGCCCGGTAGAAGGAGGTCATCATTTGTTTGACATTGTTCTTATGCAAGACCCTAAGGAAATGGAGTCTCTGTTGGGCCTTCCTAACCACCTGGGTTGTATTGATTTTCCAAGTGAGGTCTTCACTAAGGTGAACTCCCAGGAATTTAAAGGAAGAGACTCTCTCCACACACAACGGGGCAAGTTCCTCTCTCTTCCTCCGAAAGCCCAACACCATCTCCTTTGTCTTGCTGATATTTAGATGCAAGTTGTTCTCTAGGCACCATGTGGAGACTTTTTGAACCTCCTCCCTATATGCTGATTCATCTCCACCTGTAATTAGACCCATTATGGTGATATCATCTGCAAACTTGTTAATTGCAGTGGATCGATCAGATGAAATGCAGTCATATGTATACAACGAGTACAGGTAGGGACTCAGCGCGCATCCCTGTGGGGTGCCAGTGCTGAGCTTTAGAAAGTAGATGTGACAGGCCCAATCCTCACTATTTGTGTGTGATCCCTCAGAAAGTCTTTAATCCAATCACAGATGGTAGGGGGGAAGTCCAGGTCCATCAGCTTTTTAATAAGAATGTCCGGAAGGATGGTATTAAAAGCTGAGCTATAATCAATAAACAGCATTCTGACATAATTCCCCGGTCTCTCCAGATGACTCGCTGCAAGGTGAAAAGCTGTGGCTATGGCATCGTCTGTTGACCTATTTCTCCTGTAAGCGAACTGGTGTTCATCAAAATCTGGTGGTAAAAACATATCCTAAGGTGTTGAAAAACCAATTTCTCAAAGCATTTCATCACTACAGATGTTAATGCAATGGGTCTGTAGTCATTTAGACAGTTAATTGCTGTTTTCTTTGGGACTGGGACAATGGTGGCTGCTTTCAAACATGATGGTACACAAGCAGTCTGCAGGGAGATGTTAAAAATCCTTGTCAGGACCCCTGCTAGTTGATCAGCGCAGTTTTTTACCACTTTCCCCAGCACCCCATCCAGACCAGCTGCTTTGCTGGGATTCCTCCCGTGGTATTGCACTTTTCCTGGTACATCCATGTAGCAAACACTGAGAACCTACAGACCACAGCTGCTTTTTGTCACTTGGTTTTTAAAACCTTTATCAAGTGGATGCACAGCTGTCCGACCTGTTGGCCGCACAATATTTCTGACATGGAAAATGTTAAAAACCATTCTTCACACATAGCTAGTTTGTGTGAGTGTCACAAGCAACAAGGCTGTCACTTACGTGAAATGCAATAACACTTGCTGGGTTTTGCTTCCTAAAATAAACAATTGTGCATGGATTTCAACGGGACCCCCCCCCCCTAAGCCGAGGGTGTTTGAGGTGTTCTTAGCTGTAAAATCAGGCTGGCTGGGTTCCAAGTGCAAAGACCTCTGCTGCTCAGGGTTTGCCAGTAAGCCAAATGAAATGGATAAATGAAACCATTGAACTAACCCTTGAAAGACAACGAAATGGCACACCGTGTCATCGTCTTGTGAAATGTCACACTGTAATTTGGCAGGAGATGATGCAAGGGAGACTAAAAGCCAAAGGGGTAACCTAAGGAACCCAGCAATGGAGCACCCACTTCCATTTTGGTTCTGGTGCTGTTTTGTCTAATGTGGTACCATCCAGATTAGGGAAGGCGATGCTAAGCTTAGCAATTGATTTCTGTGAAACTGGTAGGATGCTTCCTAGGGAATATGTAACAAAAGTTGTTGGATTACGCTACATAAACCAGTAGCTGCGGGATTCTCAAATCTTTTTAGAAAAACAAATTTAGCCTAACAGACAACTGCGAAACTGTGCCTTTAGATCATGGTAGTGACACTGTTTTGGCTAGGGCTGATGACTTGTTGTCCAAAATGTCGGAGAGGTGCACGTTATCCATCCCTGTGCAGGACAACCTGAAAGTAAAGTGCAATGTTTCTTAGCCAGCACATGGTATAAATGAGTTAGATTACTTTCCCTGTTCACTTTAGTCATGGCAAGTCAAGAATGACTTCAGCTGAATGCTTCTGCTCTTGGTTTAACTCGACTGACTCTTTTGCTCGAATACCCAGTTTTCAATGTTTTATGCTATGATCCATTTAACATGCTTCTTCCTTGTCTCCAACTCACATTGCCCATCATCTCCCTCCCTGTCCCTCACACCACCCCTGAAACTTGCTACAAGCTGCCAGGGTTGGTTTTGCTGTGCTGTAAACCTGCATCCTACCTTCCTCATAGATGGTCCATGTGACTGGCTGGCCAAGACTTCTAGAGGGTTTGAGCCTTGACGCCTTCCAGGTCCTTGCCTGTTCTCCTGTCTACAACTTGGTCCCCATCTCCATGCTATTCTCACCTTCCATTCCTCCTGTCTTTGCGAAATAATTCTCAGGTCTTTGACAGTTTGTTTTATGTCCAGTATCCGGAGTTTCCAATTACCATAAGTTTGGTGAAACTGTGGGGGTTTCAATGCAAAACTTGGATTTTTGGTTTGGCACAAAATCCAAACAGCTTTGATTCATTGCAGGTTAATCCAGGATAAGAAAATGTGACTGGAGAACACACCAGCTCTTAGATTGTTTGACGAGACTTAAACAGTCTCTTTTCTCCTCTCTTTTATTGGGCAATGCAGTGGGCCTGTTAGCTCAGATTGGCAGTAAGTAGTTATCTTTAGCCAGCTACTGGTTGCTTGACTCATGGTGTCCTCTTTCTCTTTTTTGCCCCCAACACAGTCTTATCCGATTCCTCTTGGACCAGTCCTTCTGGATCCTGCAAAAACAGGTGCTTTGAACTTGACGAGGCAGAGCCTCCAGGTTGCCGCTGCGACAACTTGTGCAAGAGCTACTTCAGTTGTTGTGCAGACTTTGACGAACTGTGTTTAAAGACAGGTAGGAGAGCTCTTAAGTGCCTGCTTTGTACAAATCGCTACTGCTGATGAGCGTTATCGTGGCCTTTTCTACCTCTCCATGTGCGCTGACACGCTTTTAAGACTTCTCAAATGCATGGTCGTGGATTCTTCTCCATAGCAGTTTGGGAAATTTAACCTAAGTTTCCTCAGAAATAGGAGCCAGAGCACTAACAGTGGGAAGTACATCTGCAGACCTTTTTATGTCTGGGAAAAGATTCCCAGCACTACAACCAAAGCACTTGACAACACACGTTTAGCATCCTGAAGGAAAGGGTTACCTACTCTCCATTACCTCCAGTCTCTAACCACAATCTTGCACCCCAGTCCATGTCTTCTGACCTGCTTTCAGTTAGGCTCCTATCCAAAGAGTCAGAAGAGCACCTGTCTGTAATCTGAGGTGGTACAGTTCAGGTACAGTTTCAGCACCTCGGTGAGAGCTCAACCATTGCTTCTGTCCACATCTCCCAGAACTGAGCATCTTTTAACACAGTGGGAAATGCAGCTTGTTGAAATCTTAGGACTCATTTTTGCTACTATTTCATATGGGCACGATCCTAGATTTCAGTGGGGGAAAGAATTAAGCATGTGTCGCCTATAAGCCTCTCCTGTTGAAAGTCCTTGAAGTTGCTTGAATTGTCTCCTTGTTTGGCATTCAGTGCCTACCGATCCACTTGACCTTACACTCTGGTTGCAGGATTGGTTCATAATCACTTAATAACCAACTTGTAGTAGGACAGTGGTGTGTGTGTGTGTGTGTGTGTGTGTGTGTGTGTGTACACGTGTGTGTTAAGAATTGTATGCAAGCAGAATATAAGCAATCTCTTCCATCTTTTTTTCCTTTTGTGTGTTTTCTTGGAATTATGCCACAACATGGCTTGGATTGTACGTGAACAGAGGGAAGTTCACAGGAGAAAAATGGCCCCATTTTCCTTCCCACCCCCTTCGGTTGACTGCCTCTTCAAAAAACAACATACACACATACCTTCTTTGGAGGAAAAGGTGGCTCCCTCCTGAACAATCATGAATGAGGCATAGACGGAGGGGAGGGGAGGGGAGGTGAAACTGTCCAAAGCTTGGAAAGGTTTGGGGCAATTCTTCTTCACTCCACCCCACATGTTGAGGAGGGAGCCTTGGCATGGACATAGTGCTAAACTACAATCCAGTATTGCAAGAACAAGTCAAAGCGAGTGCCATTCTTGCACAGTCACCCCTCCTGTGGCATAATCGCCAGGTGGAATTCAGAAACATTCACTTCTGTTTTAGACCACCATGTAATCTTAATGATGGTTAGTGGAAACAAGCCAAATTCCAGCCCATAAAACTGGTTTGTTGTCACTAACCATAGGAGGAGGGCCAGCTTGGCCCTGCAACTGTGGGTGCCCAGGGTCGTGCGTGTCATGCAGTGTGCAAGGCCCTAGTGCCAAAATTTGTGGGTGCCTGGACCCTTCATGGGGAATTTGGTGAGTGCTCAGGGCCCCAGGGAGCTGGCACCTATGTACCATAGTTTAATAACAGATTAACCAGAGTTTAGAGTTTAGCTGGAGCTTCCCATCTCTTTGTATGGATGTGCTAGAGAAGGGAGGGAAAGGTATGTGAGTCCATGGCTAGCCTGGCCTCATTTGTAACACTAAACTATGGTTTGATGTTTGTTGTAGCCAGATGCAGCCAGTGTACATATTACACCCGGTTACTTGATAGAACTGCTCAAACATGTCCTTATGAAAGAAAAGAAGTGCAAGTATGGAATGCTTTACAGTCTTTACTCCATTGCTTCTTCTAACATAACATTTTATAGATTGGAGGAAGTGTCAATGAGCATGGCTGAGCTGGGATTGAAATAGCTCTCTCAAAGTTCTGAGTCTCTGGACACATTTAAAAGTACATATTTACACTGGTTCAACAGTGAGCCCTTCTGTGGGGGGTGGATAGCATGTAGCTAACAAACTGAACCCCCCCCCCCCGGATTTTGGGGGATAAGGCCATGGCCTTTAAGCTGGAATAAAGGCAACAGCAACGTAGCGTAGATAACTCCTATGTCCTGGACCCTGCTACCTTTTGAGCGCAACTAAAGCATCAGTGGCTAAACTTGGACCCTCCAGACATTGTTGGACTACAGCCACTCCAGGTTCAAAATGAAAACATCCAATAAGGTGAAAATTGCTGTGGAATTGTTTTGCCCCAAAGGTGTGGGGCACATGTGCATAGTTGTCTTTAAGAAACCACTGTCTTCATGTTTTTTGTTTTTGTGATAATGTTAGCTGGAGGCTGGGAATGTACGAAAGAGCGATGCGGAGAGACGAGGAATGAAGATCATGCCTGTCACTGTTCTGAAGACTGCTTATCCAGAGGCGACTGTTGTACTAACTACCAAGTTGTTTGTAAAGGTACTTGTTTTCGTTCTTCTATCTGCTAAAGGAATCCAAGCATTCCGGATCATGCTCCTCCTAAGCATGTTTTGGAAGGGAGATGTGAGTCACCTAGTCCAAGCTGACTGATGCTTCATTCGTTCTGTGATGCTTCCCCTAAGTTGGCGCACTGCTATCTGGAGAGGCTATAGTGCGACAAAAGTGGGAGAAAACTTCTGGGATGTTTTTGGTGTTACTAGTTATGGATTTCAGCAGGAAGTTACAGAACATGCACCAATTGGAAATGAAGCAATATGACCACCCCAAAACATTTGCGGGCACAAATAATATTGAGAGTGGTTATTTAAAAGCCCAATTAAAGACACCACTTCGGAGATGTGTACCCATGTAGAAACTGTTGACAAGTCCTTTTTTTTTCCCCATGAGATGGTTCTGATATTTTTGTACTTAGTGACAGAATAACAACAACAACAACAACAGTATAGTCATGCTGTTCTATAGGTGAAATAGGATCTCCCAAGTGGCCTCCCATCTTTTCCCTTGTGAACAGCCAATAGCAAAAGGTTTCTATGACTTGATGACCTGTTTGTTGAGCATCCATCCTGATTTGTTTGCGGGGAGGTTAGATGATGGGTTTGCAGCAAATGCTACCCAACAGTTTCCAGGGCATTTTCCCACCACTTTCCATCTTGCAAAAAACAACAACAACACACTTTATTTTTATTGCTCCAAACACACTTTAATTGCGCAACCTGAATTTGCTGGGGTGTGATTGAATCTCATCTGAAAATAGCAACAGAGGTGCATTGTTTATATATGCTTCCAGCCATACTAGTCAGGCAGAGTATACTGTTGTGAAAGATGCCGATGAAATTTTTAACTGTTAAAAAAGGGGCCTTGGATTGTGAAACGGTGAAATAATTCTTTTCAGGATTTTGTCACCATGAGGTTAGGCATCCAAAGATGCAGTGAGCACACACTGGACAATGAACATGCAGCCAGAAAGAAGTGTTGAGTTAAAACACACACACAGTTTGGCAAACCTGCACCCTACACATCTGTATACAATAAAAGATTCTAAGATTGGCTATGATCATTCAAGGATTCATGAAAACAAACAAGGCAGTGCAGCTTCAATCCCGTGTGCTCTTTACTCGAGAACAAGCCCTGATGATCAGTAGGACTGACTCCTGCAGAAACATATAGGATCCAGTTGCCTGCCGTCACCTTTGCTGTAAATGGAACTTGCAACTGTATAGGGCGTGTACAAAATGGTTTTTATTATCATCCCTCTTTAGGAGAGACTCACTGGGTTGCGGATGAATGTGAGGATACACGGACGCCAGAATGCCCAGCAAAGTAAGTGCTTTGTTTTATGTACTTATTTTTATCATGTATAGGAGATCTAATAAGTGTTGGCTGCCACTAAGCGGTTCGTTTTTGTGTCCTGTTGTGAAAACTGAGGCTTATTGCAAGCATCTAAAGAAAGGAGAACCATCATACCGTATACATTTTCTGGACGATATCCAGTTGCGGCAGCCCATTTGCAGAACAGCCATTCTGCTAGTGAGAGCACTTATTTACGATTATATACAATAGCCAAATCAAATGGATGTCTTCCGCTTGCAAAATGCATTGTTCAGCCCATAGTGCAGCAGCTACTATATACTCTTTGTCGATTTAGCTTTGTGCTGCTGCTACTACTTGCGCAACAGCACAGACTCTTGCACAACATGGTGCTAACATTGCACTGGATCTCTCTCCATGCCTTTACATCAAAATCTTCTTGTTGTTCTTCTTTTTTGGCAATCACTCGCAGCCGTGTAAGATTGTCTTCCATTAACATGGTCTTAACAATGAGTCTGTAAGTGACTGTGGAGGCCAATTCTGGATCCACACGTCCTTCCACAGTGGGGACATTGGGTTCAGGATGGGAGTTGATCACGGTGAGGGTTTGCCAAGCGTGCCTTCCTCTTAGCATGTTTCTTCCTTTCGTCCTGAGTTCGAGTGTCTTCAAAGCCCATGGCACCTTTGGTAAAGGCTGCTCTCCAATTGGAGCACTTGCAGGCCAGTGCTTCCCAGTTGTCGGTGTTTATACTACATTTTTTAAGATTTGCCTTGAGAGAGTCTTTAAACCTCTTTTGTTGACCACCAGCATTACGCTTTCCATTCTTAAGTTTGGAATAGAGTATAGTAGTTGCTTTGGAAGACGATAATCAGGCATCCAAACAACATGACCAGTCCAATGAAGCTGATGTTGAAGAATCATTGCTTCAACACTGGTGATCTTTGCTTCTTCCAGTACACTGGCATTAGTTTGCCTGTCTTCCCAAGAGAAATGTAAAAATATCAAAATATAGGGTTGTATTCAACTAAGTCCTACTTGAAGTAGTCCCTCTGAAATTACTGTTTTACACTGTAAAACTGCCCTGTGATCTTCAGGTGAAGGACAGTATATAAATTTAATAAATAAAAATAATGAACCTAAGTCCTGTTTATTAACCTCAATGTGTTGGCTCTGAGTAGGACCAGCAGTGAATACTACCCATATATTACAAACTTATAATGACACCATTTTCTGATGGCAATGGGACTAAGTTTCCCTGTGGATTTTTAACGAAAGATAACTTATCTGCATGGAAGCATAAAGGTAACAAATAAATTTAAAAAATACTTATAAGATGATGCCTTATTTATTTATATAACTCAAATGAGTGAAGGGCATGTGTGCCTGGGATTTTTGGCTCTGCTCAGGCGTAAAAGTTGTCCTAGGTCACTTTGACACCAAGTGAAGTTGTCCTGAAACCACAGAGAAGAGGCTTTCTTTCCCAATTTGTTTTGCCACATCTTTACTCCAGCTTTTAAGTTCATTAGTAACATGCTTTGCCTCCCACAGTTTCGTTCGCCCCCCATTGATTATCTTTTCGGTCGATGGCTTCCGTGCATCGTACATGAAGAAAGGCGACAAAGTGATGCGCAACATTGAAAAACTAAGTAAGTGCATGTGCTTTATTGGGACAAAAGCCCTTTTTTGTCTTTGGCCCTTCCTAAACTGCAATTTAAAATGTATTTAGTAAGCCCTACTGAACAGAGATAAGCTGGAGACTGGAGACTGGTGACTGGGAGTGGTTGCCACATAACACCGCTCTTGAAAGACCTACATTGGCTCCCAGTACATTTCCGAGCACAATTCAAAGTGTTGGTGCTGACCTTTAAAGCCCTAAATGGCCTTGGTCCAGTATATCTGAAGGAGAGTCTTCACCCTCATCATTCTACCCGGACACTGAGATCCAGTGCCGAGGGCCTTCTGGCGGTTCCCTTGCTGCAAGAAGCCAAGTTACAGGGAACCAGGCTGAGGGCCTTCTAGGTAGTGGCACCCTCCCTGTGGAACACCCTCCCATCAGATGTCAAAGAGAACAACAACTACCAGACTTTTAGAAGACATCTGAAGGCAGCCCTGTTTAGGGACGCTTTTAATGTTTGATGCATTGCTGTATTTTAATATTTTGTTGGAAGCCACCCAGAATGGCTGGGGAAGCCCAGCCAGATGGACGGGGTATAAATAATAAATTAATATTATTATGATAAGCATGTACAGGATTGCACAGTTAGCGCAGCGAAACACCATGTTTCATGATTGACTTGAATGGCATCTGCTGTATGTAAACATCACAGCACCGATCTATATTAAAACCACACCACAAACTTCATTTTCAGGGTCCTGTGGGACACATGCGCCATATATGAGGCCTGTCTACCCTACAAAAACCTTCCCTAACTTGTATACCCTGGCGACGGTAAGTTTTGCTGCTGGTTTTATGAGTATATAGGAAAGCTCCTGCTTTTCTGTAGATATCAAATGAGTGGTGGTTGGTGATGAGGAAAGCCTCTGAGATATGTTGTTGTCCTGCTTTGATGCGGGGAAGGGAATGGTCACCGAGCCGAAGGGCAAATTTGCATATACCTGTGTCATGTGAAAAGACCATGGAAGGGCTTAGGTGAGAAGCTGGTATTTAACCTGTTGAGCTTTGTGAGAGTATAAAAAAGTTTTGACTTGAGCTATCCTCCCCTCTAGCAGGCATTTGACCATCCGTATTTGCTATCAGTTTGGAAGTGAATTGGGTTCATGCCCTTCTACATACTTGGACTCATTGGTACCCGCCATAGTTGTTGCTAAATTTAAAAAGAGAAATTTCACACACACACACTGAAAAAAACAACACTCCAGCTCTCTGTCAACTTCCAGGATCTGTTTGATTTCAGTCCTTTGGATCACTGAGAGTAAAGAGATTAGAGTAACTAATCTTATTGTCTGGAGAAGCAACTTCAGGAATCACCTTGGACTCCGAACCAAAACTCCACTCTTTGCTCCATTTTGGGGTGAGGGGTGGGGGGCAAGGCCAGGCTACTTCTCAACTACAGCTATGCTTAAATGTTGAGTAGAGTTTGCTATGAGTAGCAGGCTGTCTTCCATACTAGGGAAGGGGAGGTGTAAAATGGGGTCTGGAGGAACTGGGTTCTGAAAAACTGTGAGTCTGGAAATGGAAGTCTACGGTTGAGCCATGAATTGTTAAAGGCGCCCATTTCTTTTAAAGGGGAGCAATGAAATTGGGGGAGCATTTTAGTTAATAGTATTCTGGAGGCAAGATTATGACTGTGGAGGAGGCATGACATGAGGTTAAACTTGCCTCTAAAGCATCCTTGTTCAGGATTCACAGCTTACCCCACTCCATTACTCTTTTGCACATGGGGGAAAAGGGTTGAAGGGATCCACTGCCAACTTCAGATGGTATTACAAGACTTCCATTCTAGACTGGCTGGAAGTCAGTTAGTGATTAGGGATACAGCTGGCAATATTGCATATAACTAGATTTGGACTTTGTTAGGGCAGCAATCAAGTAACCATTAACTGCATTATCTCTCTTCTTTCTTAACTCTTGGGCCATGTCCTGATTCCTGTGTTGCTTACACTGGTGTATACCCACATAATCAGTGATGGGGAAAGCACTAGTGTTGGGGAAACCTAACAGAAAAGAGCTTTTAAGTTCTCTGCCTTGCTTGGGAGGCAAGGCCCCCTTGGTGTGCCAGCTCTGGAAGGCTAGGGATGCTCGCACTGGGCTATTCGAGTATATACATTTTGCATAAATGTGTAATCCTCAGAAATATAACCCCCATGTAAGATGTGATTGTACTGTATTGCACAAGATTAGTCAGCAGATTAGCATAGCGAGATGGAGGCCTTAACTTGGAAGACCAGTTTTTAGCACTTCAACAGAAAAATAGAAGTCTTCCCACGCACTATGATTTCCACTGAAACTGCTATTCCCCCCCCCCCCCATTATAAGGTCATATTGAATAGTTAATAATCTGTTTTATTTTTCAACATTTCCAACACAAAGGGCCTCTATCCTGAATCCCATGGAATCATTGGCAATTCAATGTACGATCCTGTATTTGATGCTGCTTTCAGCCTCAGAGGCCGAGAAAAATTCAATCACAGGTGGTGGGGAGGTCAGCCGGTAAGTTTCTGTTTTGTTTGCCTTAGCGAAAGTGAATCAATAAAAATAATGGACATTTTGTGTGTGTGTGTGTGTGTGGTATTAAATCTTCTGGCTTTTATGTCGGCACGATTGGGGCCAGCTATGTCAAAAATTAGTCATGACTCGGCTTCAGTGGGAGTCGGGGATAATGTCACTTTTACTCTATTGGTTTTGAGTGAGACTTTGTCATGGCTAACTTCTAGCCGGATCAGGGTTGCTAGATTGGTTATGCAGAAAAGCCTATTAAGGGAAGTCCTTGCTGAAAATTGGTTCTGATACTGCTAAATATAAAGGTAAAGGTAAAGGGGCCCCTGACCATTAGGTCCAGTCGTGGCCGACTCTGGGGTTGCGGTGCTCATCTCGCTTTATTGGCCGAGGGAGCCTGCGTACAGCTTCCGGGTCATGTGGCCAGCATGACTAAGCCGCTTCTGGTGAACCAGAGCAGCACAGGGAAATGCCGTTCACCTTCCCGCCAGAGCGGTACCTACCGGTATTTATCTACTTGCACTTTGACGTGCTTTCGAACTGCTAGGTGGGCAGGAGCAGGGACCGAGCAACGGGAGCTCACCCCGTTGTGGGGATTCGAACCGCCGACCTTCTGATCAACATGCCCTAGGCTCTGTGGTTTAACCCACAGTGCCACCCACGTCCCTTCACTGCTAAATATAGCTTTAGCAAAAGACTGGGATGCCCATCATAATGATACTCTGGTTTAAAATTTGGTTTAAATTCTCTTTAATTATTTTTAGAAATACAGTGGACGCTTGGGTTGCAAATGTGATCTGTGCGGGATGCACGTTTGCAACCCGCAGCGTCCGCAACCCGCAGTGGCGTGTCTGTGCAGGTTGTGATTCGGCACTTCTGCGCATGCACAAAGTGCGATTTAATGCTTCTGCGCATGCACGTCTGCCGAAACCCGGAAGTAACCTGTCCCAGTACGTCTGGGTTTCGGTGGTCCGCAACCAGAAAATACGCAACCTGAAGTGTCTGTAACCCAAGGTATGACTGTATCCCTGTGGCAGTGTGTTTCTGTAGCTATAAAATGCAGTCTCCACCCTCCTTCATTTTAACACTTAACAATAGAACTTGTTCCAGCTGGTTACAACCCTTCTATTGCCAATTCCACCTGGCAACGCCAAGAGTGTTATGGGTCAAAAGCTTTTTGAATAATTTAAGACACCACCATGGCAGTATCCTGCTCGTGTAAACAGAGCCTTATTAGGAATATCAAAAAGGTGTTTTACACTTTCAAAAAGTGAAAGCAAATGCAAGGGACCCGTTCACCCGGGGAGATTGATCTATGGCTCTTGTTAGTACAGTGTCCAAAAGGAACATGGTGCTCCTACAGGCAATAAGGCAAAAGGAAGCATTTTTCTTGTGCAGTGTTCCCAGAGATGACATTGAACTCCTATTGAGTCTCTGATTGCTCCCATGGCCCAGCCCTACTGTTAGGCAAAAGTCAGGCAGCAGAAAAGATTCAACCGCAATTCTGATTGGGTTCCATATGTGGGATGGGGAGTCATTGTATCCTTGGCCTTCAGCAGCAAAATACAGTGGTACCTCGAGCTACAGACACTGCAGGTTACAGACGCTTCAGGTTACAGACTCTGCTAACCCAGAAATAGTACCTTGGGTTAAGAACTTTGTTTCAGGATGAGAACAGAAATCGCGTGGCGGTGGCACAGCAGCAGCAGGAGGCCCCATTAGCTAACCTCAGGTTAAGAACAGTTTCAGGTTAGGAATGGACCTCCAGAACGAATTAAGTTCTTAACCCGAGGTACCACTGTACTGGCTGTGGCTGGAGGTGCTGTGTTTTTTGCCAGGCTCCCAAGAAGGGTTCCTTAAGATGCTTTGAAGCTGAACCTTCTAACTTAGAATTGCAAGCTGGGGGTTTAACGGGGCAGCAACTGCTAATGGGTAGATCACGGAGGATAAATGGTTGATGATAGTCTCAACCATTGTGCGCAGCCCAGTGCCACACCTCTGTCCTATAATTTTGTTCCACTGCAAGAGATATTTTTTCCTCTTATGTTTTTTCATTCCTGTGTAGGTGGCATGTGGGTGTTAAGGGGTGTACAGTGTTTGAAGATAGTGTAGAGCCTTCATGTGGTGGTCCTCAGCCTGTGTGGTGATCTTAACTTGCGCAACCTGTGTTAAAAGCTGAATTCTTTGCATGACAGTGAATACTCACATATGCAACCGGCTTGCTGTTGTGAGGCTGGAAGCTGACATTGTACTTCAGACGTTTGTGTGTGTGTGTGTGTGTGTGTGTGTGTGTGTGTGAACATCATACTGGTGACTTCAGAGACTGAAATTTTCAGCATCCGGAAAAAGGCACCAGCTTGCACAATCAGGATTTTAGCTCTGTTCTTTTAATTTTTTTCAGTTATTAAATAACCATGACACTGATTCTCTAACCTGTTAATCAAGGAAACTATTCAGATTTCTGCTGCTAGCCCGGTTGGATGCAAATGCTCAAATTCTAATCTGTAGAACTGGAAGCCAATGTTTGGGGCTGAGGGTCGGGGAAGGTTTTATTTATGACATTTTCTTTTAATAAATGTACCGTCATGTAGCCGACGGTCTGCCGCTCTTTGTAATCGCCTTATATTTTCCTAATTAGATATGGATTACGGCTGCCAAGCAAGGGGTGAGAGCTGGTTCATTCTTTTGGTCTACGTAAGTATACCCGCACAAGACAGAACTGGTAACATAATCACAATTAACAAGAACTGGGAAGCAAATGCCATAGAAATCGACAGGTCTTAATTTTCAAGGAAGGATAGAATCGGGCTGAAAAATGTCCCTGGCTTCATCTCTTGGGAGCTTTCAATTCAGGCAACATCTGTTTTCCAATTTGCCCACCACTGATACATGTGATGAAGTGTTTTGGAAAAGCACTGTATAAGTAACTATTAACTAAGAACCAATGCAGAGGATACACTATAAAGATAAAGTAAAAAATGAAGTGAGGAGGGGAATGCAATCTGTGTGGCCTTCCAGATGTTGCACTGCAGTGGTCAGGCATTATGGACAATGTAGCCCACCATATCTGGAAAACCTGTTGCCTACCCCTGCTTTACACCATTGACACTCCAGAAATTACTGGTAAACTGCAGTAGATGGTGGAGGCTCTATCTGTGGGACTAAACCCACCTACGATAACCCCAAAAGTTATTTCCTTAGCAACTTGGTGTACAGAATAGCATGAAAGTGGGATGAAAGGAACCTGTTGAAATTGCCTTGGGTCAGAACAGATGGGAAAGTCACATTTATTATTTTAACATTAACAGCAAATGTCTGTTTCTAGCTTAATGCTTCCTAGGTGGTTTTAACATAGGCAGGGGAGCCTGGGGTCCTCCAGGCATTTACTGAGCTACAGCTGCCTTCAGCCCTGACCATTGGTCATGCTGGCTAAGGCTGATGGGAATTGAGAGTCCCAGCAACATCTGGAGAGCTGCAGGTTCCCCATCTGCATGGCCCAGGCGCATAAGGTGCACTGCTGGCTGGTGGGGATGTGGCAGTGTAAATACGACACAGGAGACCATTGGATGGGTTAAATTAGGATGCAACTTTATTGATGACAGGTGTAAGCCAGTTTGGCATAAGGCGTTGGGTAAGCATCTGCCCTCAACCAGCCTGCCTGCTGGTTGCACCCAGGGTGAGTTGGACCTGGCATGACGACTAACCCTAGGCATGGATCAAGAGGGGCATCCCTGACAGTGTTGTCTGGTGCTATGGCCCATTGGCCTTGGTGTGGGCACCCAGACAGTTCTACCCCTTCCAGGACCCATTTAACGGGGTACCCAGCTGTTAAAAGGCTGCCTTAATTGCCCAAGTCTTGACGTTTGCTCTGAGGCAGGCAAAAAGCTGCAGAAGGGCTCATTTGTCTGCAGGAAATATTCCTCCCTGGCAGTGCTGTCTTTGGCATATGTGCCGCCTGGGTGCAAAGATCCGCCCAGCACCCCCTTTGTGAATGACAAGTGCCGCCGCTGGTGTGGCATGTCTTTGGTAAATGAGCGCACAAAGTTGAAAGTCCTTTAGTGAAACTTTGGTAAAATCTAGGTATATATGTATTTTGTTTTTCTAGCTTGATCAAAATTATGTGTATTTTTGGTCTTTGTTGGAAGCTGCCCAGAGTGGCTAGGGAAACCCAGCCAGATGGGCGGGGTAGAAATAATAAATTATTATTATTATTATTAATTATTTATTTCATAACAGGTAGATAGTTAAGAGATTAGGCGGCTTCAGCGATGTCTGCCTGGCGCCCCCCCCCCGAATTCGGCGCCCGGGTGCCCCGCACCCCTTGCACCCCCGGGTAAAGATGGCCCTGCTCCTTGGCTCTCAATAGGGTGACCAAGTAATTCGTAGCAAGGTCCATACCACCTCAGCTCACTCACCTTTGGGCTGAAACACATGCACATGATAACATGGGTGGGAGGGCAGGTGACCCACCGACAATCAGGTACGTGCTGGGCACTGGGCACCACTCCCTTTTACTGCCCTGGCCTCTGCCCTTTGCCTAGACCCCCCCCCCAGCTCCCTCCTGATTGGCCAAGAGGGTGGCCCAGATTCATGTGGCTGGACGAAGAGGCCAAGCCTCCTCTGACTAACCGCATGGACCCCTCCTTCCCCAGTTCTCAGTCCCAAGCTGCACTGGGCAGCAAATGGGACCCACCCCCTAAGCAACGGTAAGCCTATTCTATCATTTAACAGGCTTTGTTACGGGAGAACCCTAGCCATGGTTATTAGCAGCAGTGTCTACGTGCTCTCAACGTGAACCACAGTATAGAACTCAAGCATAGCACACCCATGCTTTGTGACGGTATTGCGCGTGAATACGGGCCAAAAAATAAAATAAAATTGTGCAGCTGTTTCTTACTCAGTTTGCTCTGTTCTGTTCTAGTATGATCCCTCACGAGCGCAGAATATTAACAATCCTCCAATGGCTAACCCTGCCAGACAATGAAAGGTAAGTCATATTTTCTTTTCCCTTCTAAGTGTGGCTGAATGCCAGCGTTGCCAATATTCTCTGTAGATCGCAAGCTTTGATCCACTGTCCTGCTCCTTGTTGACCAGCTCATGACGTGAATGCCCTGTTATTGTGGACGTGGACGCTCTTGTTATTAATGACATGGGCTAGGGTCGGTTGGCACAGAGTGTCTGTGTGTTTGAAATGCTGTTTCGTCTAATGTGGCTTAATGAGTGTTGGACCCTGAGATTTGGGCTGATGTCAAGATTTTTAATTGTGTCGCTGAGTACACACAGCTCTAGACCCTGCCAGCGGGCACAATCTTTAGCTGTTATTATTGTTGTCCCTTTCTCCTGACCTCCGTTACACAACTGTGGAATGTTTCTTCCTGAGTCTTTGTTCAGCACCTCTCAGCATCCCTTCTAATATTTTTAATGAAGTTGCGGTACAACGAAGGGCTTAATCGGACTGTGGAAAACTTGCAACAGAGTTGCAGTCCTCTTGTTTATCTCCTTCTGAAGGCAAGCTTTGTTTGAAAGGGTTGGTGTGAGCTAACCTGCTAAGGGAAAACTGTTCAGAAAACAATTTTCTTTTCTTTTAATAACATTTTATTGATTTTCCAAAAATAACAAAAATAAAAACAACAATACAAAAAACCAAAAACAAATTGACTTCCCTCTAATCCCTTCCTTGCTTCTGTTATCAACATACTGCATGTCTATTGTTAAATTTTAACCTATATAAATCCCTATTATCCATTCATAATAAAATTACAAGTAATCTTGAAACCCTGTGAATGTATTAACCTGTGTACATTGCTTCTGTAAATATGCAATAAACATCTTCCATTCTTCCTTAAATTCGTTGCTGTCTCTTCCGCTTAGTTTCATAGTCAATTTTGCCATTTCAGCATATTCCATCAATTTAACTTGCCAATCTTATTTTGATGGGACACCTTCTTCTTCCTAATGTTGTGCTAGTAAGGTCTGTGTGGCCGTTGTTGCATACATAAACAAGTTCTTTTGTGATTTCGATAGGTCCGCTCCTATAATACCCAATAAGAAAGCTTCTGGTTTTTAAAAACATTTTTCTTTTCTTTTCAGGCCTTACGCTTATGCGTTCTACTCTGAGCAACCAGATATCGCTGGCCACAGATATGGCCCCTTTAGCTCTGAGGTTAGTATAGTTCCTCTTCCGTAAATAGCATGGCCCTGAGCTCAGAGTTGGGGGAGCCTGTTGCTCTCCAGATGTTGCTACACTCCATCCTCCTTGGTCATTGGATAGTTGGAGGCCATGAACATCTGGAGGGCCACAACTTCCTTACAATTTGCATTACAGCAAAAGCCATAGAAAGGCTAACCTTTGGCTGAATTGTGTGTGTTTGAAGCTGATGGTTTAATCTGCACATTGGTAAGCATCCAATGAGAGGAGAGTCTGTGGAAAATAGGAAAGCTATATAAGTAAAAGGGCAGGAAAACAATCCTGAGAACTTCCAGCTCTAAGAAGTCCCTCACGGAGTGTCATAAAATCATAGACGTGTGGCTTTAGGCAGGAGCAAAATTTATCATTGACAGGCCACCTCTTGGATATATTCGAAGTTAAAGAGTTTTAAAGAGCAGTGTGTGGAAAACAGCATTTCTTGTGGTGAGGTTATGTTTTCTGCTATATAATAACTATAGCAGTTAATGCTATAGCAGCTCTCTGAGGTTCCCTCCTTTTCGTTTTTAAGGAAATGGCTTTGCTTCATTTTTTGCATTTGGCAGATGTGTACCTAATAATCAGGCCCATTTTAATTGTTAATAAAGAGCATCACTCAATAGATAGAATCAGTAAGTTGGCCAGAAATATTGGTGCTCCTGATGAGCAACTAGATGTTTAAAAATGCAACGCAACCCTCTTTTAGATTGCATTTCTGGAAACCCCCTCTCTGACCGCAATCCACAGAACCACTCAGCTAGCTCCAGCAATGGGTTTTTGTGTGTTACGAATGACTGCCTGCCTTTGCATGTCAAACCGCTTGTGAAATTTAGAGGAGTTTCCCAAGTGCTTTGATATAACAGGGTCTCTTTAAACGATAACGACACTCACTGTTTCCTACAGTGCTTTGAATCCATTTTCTCACTGCTAGTCGCAGTGAGAGCTTTGCTCCAGGTGGCAGAATGATAAGGGTGGCAAATTTGTACACTGCCACCACAATTTACCGCTCTGGAAGTGCCAAATTAAGATAGGATCACCTAGCAGGTAGGTTGGGGGGACGACGGATCTTCTCTGTCTAAGAGGGATCCTGGCACACACAGCAGACAGTGTTGGATTAAATAGACCAGTGGCATAAGATTACTTCTTGTTTTCCTGTGGGTGTGAGTCTCAGGAGATGAGAGCCTTGTTAGAATACCTTTACATTTTTTATGCCATGCTCTCAGGAGATGGGTGGTGTCTTGACTAATGCACAATCTTGATTGGGTGACACCAACTCCAACCAAAATGTGTGGAACCCTGCATATATCAGCCTCCGGGTGGCGCTGTGGGTTAAACCACAGAGCTTAGGACTTGCCGATCAGAAGGTCGGCGGTTCAAATCCCCGCGACAGGGTGAGCTCCCGTTTGGTCCCTGCTCCTGCCAACCTAGCAGTTCGAAAGCACATCAAGTGCAAGTAGATACCGTATTTTTCGCTCTATAACACGCACCAGACCATAACATGCACATAGTTTTTAGAGGAGGAAAACAAGAAAAAAAATATTCTAAACGAAATAGTGGATATATGATTTTTGTGGTTCAGGCTGTGGCCACAGACATGTGATCTGACAGTGAGTTTGGAGTAGCCCAGTGAAAAAATCCTGAGGATCCATGTGGATCCATGCTTTGTAACCACGGAGGAGGGAAGGAAGGGGAACCATGGATCCTCTGCTCATGACTGCAGCAGATCCCCCCTGCCACCCGCAGGCATTCGCTCCATAACATGCACAGACATTTCCCCTTACTTTCTAGGAGGAAAAAAGTGAGTGTTATGGTGCAAAAAATACGGTAAATAGGTACCATTCCGGTGGGAAGGTAAACGGCATTTCCGTGTGCTGCTCTGGTTCACCAGAAGCAGCTTAGTAATGCAGGCCACATGACCCGGAAGCTGTCTGTGGACAAATGCCGGCTCCCTCAGCCTATACAGTGAGATGAGAGCCGCAACCCCAGAGTTGGTCACGACTGGACCTAGTGGTCAGGGGTCCCTTTACCTTTACAGGCAATTAAAGTAGCAGAGGGTCCAACCTAGAAGTGACACTAGAGATCAGTCATGGAATCGCCCCCCTTCATCTTTCTTTTACAGGCAGTCCCCCATTTACGTGGGGGTTATGTTCCGAGGCACCACACATTTAAGTAAAATTGTATATATGTGAAACACCATTGGAAAAGCCTGCAAACACCCCGTCGCACCCCTGCACCACCCCTTTTTGTGATGTTTTTGGATCACTTCCGAGTTTGGCGTGATGCGGTTGTGCGTGGTTGTGCACATACTGAACACGCTTAAATGAGGAGTTGCCTGTATTCACAAGCAAAGATTGTGAGGGCTTCATATTGAGAGAGGGGTTTAACCTTTCACATGCTTCCACCACCCCTATTTAATCATCCCCCCAAAAAACATGCTGCTACTTTCCTTGTTTTGTATATGTGTGTGTGTGTGTGTGTGTGTGAGAGAGAGAGAGAGAGAGAGAGAGAGACAGAGAGAGAAGACAGGTACCCAGATCTCCCATATCGCTCTACGTTTGGCCTGAATTTTCTAAATGAACATTTCAAGAAGTCAGTACAGCTGTGCACGCTGCACAGATGTCAAGATTTACTAGGGGCAGGATGTTTTTTTTTTCTTTTACAAAAGGGATAGGAAGCATTTAATGTTTCTCCTTTTTCAGGTTTTTCTTTTTTTTTAAGAGTTGTGAATGTCTCATAAATCAGCTGGGAGGAAGACCTCATTGGGGACCCCTCAGGGTTGCTTGCTTAGCAATCATAGTAGTTTGGCTATTGCATGCAAACCGCTTTCTCTCCACCCCCAACGCTTCCTTTGTACAGAGCTGGCTGCTCTTTAAACATTTGGAACAGATCTGGGCCTTTTCTGTCCATATGGTATTTGAGCAGCACATTAGAGCTTGGAGGCAAACGTTAGAGGGATGGAAATCATGTGTTCGGCTTTTAACCCGCCTACGGATTCGGGGTAATCATAAAGAGAGACTCAAACAATTATGTAAAACTTCTCCTCCTAATCCAACATTTCCCAACCTATTGTGCTCCGGGTCCTAGTTGACTCCTATTCGCTTTATCCCTGTGCTGGCTGCGGTGGGAGCTAGAGTACAAAACAGCTGGAAAGGCCCCATCTTGGAGGAAGCCCACCTAACCAAGTGACACTTCATGTATTCTCTGCTTAATAAAGGATCCAGCTGTTCTGTGACGTTTCAGCCTCTGACTCATTGTGTGTGAGAGGTATTGGGGGGTACGTTAGACCCCACTTTAAGTGATTGCAGGTGGAAACTGTTGCATCCAATATATTGGTTGTAAAGGATCTCTCGTGCCTAGTAAAAACAGTTAACACAATAGCTGCGTTGTGTTCATGCTGCAGTTATATAAGAAGGTGGTGATATTTCATTATGTATTCGACCCCAGTGTTGCTCCTGTATATTTACACAATTTGTTGAAGATATTGGGGGTTGTGTGTGACTGTGCAGAACAGATAATATAGTAGATCATTGATCATAGAGTTGGAAGGACCATGAGGATCATCTAGTCCAACCCCTGCAATGCAGGAATATTTTGCTTCATGTGGGGCTTGAACCCACAGCCCTGAAATTACCTAGGTCTCATGCTCTCCCAATTGAACTATCCCTCAATTTCCACTAGGGAGTTTTGAGTTTGGGAAACACATAAAAGCAGGGTTGGGGCAATTAATTTATTTCTGACCCATTTCATTCTTGCATGTGTTCATTTCATGATTATGTTTTGACCATTTTGGCATTAATCACTGGTTTTTGTTTTGTTAAGTTTAGAAAGGCATGGGTTGAGACACACACATTTAAAACTTATTTCTGCATGCTCATTTTTGGGGACTTTCTTCAGCAGAGAACTGCATTGGAGAAGTGTGAAGTCTGTAGCATCAATACATTCTGATCTCTGTGTGTTACAGTCTGGTAGGTGTGAATCAGGTCTGTTTGCCTCAATATTCAGATGGAAAGAAGTTATCCTTCATTGATACATGCAACACACTGGGCTCCAAGAGATTCTTGTTGCTCGGCTCAAGAAGATAGCTCAGTGGGTAAAGCATGAGACTCTTAATATCAGGGTCATGGGTTTGAGCTTCATGTGGGGCAGAATACTCCTCCATTGCAGGGGGTTAGACTATATGAACCCTGTGGTCCGTCCCAACTCTACGGTTCTAGTAATCAGTGCAATACCTGCTTTAGACTGATGCCTTCATTAAGATACTGGCTTTCCAGTACAGATTTTACTCATAGGAAGATCCAAACTGCTTGGCTTTAAAACTGTGGCGGGATCATATCTCACTAGTGCTAACCCAGAGTCATCGACTCTCTGCAAATTTCTGAGCTCGAATTCAAAGTGCTTGAAGGGGAAGATTTAGGGCTGTGTGAATGGTGCACACTAGGCACTGAGTTGAGGAGGTGCAGTCTTGATGCCCGGCAAGCAAGGCGCTGGGCTTTGGGAAGGAGGCGTGAGGACTCTGACAGCTCTCTAGAATAGCAGCATGCAGAGAGTAAATTCCTCCTTTGTGGTTGAGTTCACTGGTAATCCAAGAGGTAAGTCTTGGGGATGTGAGGAAGTGGTATCTTTGTCCTAGAACTCCAGGCTTGGTAGTGCATTGCCCCTAGTGATCCTGCTGGACCCCAGCCATCAGTACTGGGTTGCCAGTTGCCACATGGCTTGTAGATGACAAGGCCCAATGAATTAGTGTGCCAGAAACAGAATTGATGCAGAGGATGCACGACTGGTTCTTCCAGAGTATTTTTTTAAGCAATTGATCTGAACTGAGACCCCAGTGAGGGGGAATGTTGAGAGATCTGGTCACAGATATCTTTTGTTTTCTTAGCTGTACCCTTGAAAAAACCCTCCATCATCTGAGAAGCATCCCCAAACCATGTGCTTGCCTTTTCCATCACAACCGTCATATTTGCATGAAACACTAAACCGTGGTTTAGTGGTTTAGTGTTACACACACAGTTGGGAAGGAGCTGCCATGGACCTTGAGCTTGCACACTTCTGACCCTATTCTCCTTGCATGTATCCAAGTGGAGGACTTTGGCAGAGCAGCATAAAACTAATTCTGACCAGCTTTCAAACAATTCATCGGCAAACCATGGTTTATGAAGCGGGTTCGTTTAACTAACCAGAGCTTGTTGTAAACCAGAGCCAAGATTCATGGAAAGTGAAACTAAGCTGCCAAAAGTTGATGTTCTGGCTATCTAGCAGGAGGAGGTGGGACGGGAACATAGTCATAATGTTGTCTACTGTTGTGGGAAGTTATCCTTTGAGGTAGACCCTTGGCTGACCAGATTCTGCCTCCTTTGTGCGTGTGATCCTATAACTCTTAATTACAAAGCTAGAGATCTTATGCATCCATCTTTCACCCTTTGTACTGATAGTCCTTGTTCTTCCTCTTTTGAAGTGATGCCCTGGCTGGTTAATAGAGACTTGGCTTTCTTCCTAGCTCTAACTTCTTTGGAAAGAGAAGCTATCACTTTGCGAATGTATGTACGAAATGCGCGGTCTACTAGGTGAGCTGCGAACCGGACAGCAAACTCATGTGCTTACGGACTGTTCTGCTGCCCCTCTAACATGCTACCCTGGGATGGCAATTTTGATTTATTTAGAACCACTTGGTGGCCCAGTTTAAAGCTCTGGCTGTGCTTCTTTTAGAAAGAGCGAGTAAACTATGAGAATCCTTCCTTTCCTCCCTCCTCTGCTCCTCTCCTCATCAAGACTGCACGAAGCTTGAACTCTTCCTCCTCTTCTATGTATATATATTTTTAAAAAAGAAACTCTGAAGCTGCTTTTTGGAGAGAGACAAATGGAATTGGATTAGCATCTCCCTTCCAGCTGCTTGCCTGGGATGCAATGAAACAGAATGGCAGATGGTAACACTGTTTTTCCTTCCAAGAATGCGGGTCTGCGACTGAAACAACAAAGACGGCGGATGGCTAAGCGGATAGGAACAAACGGCGTTGTAAATCACTGCCGAGTCTGAACCTCCTTCGCTGCGTTTCCTTTCTTCATCTTTTTTTTATTTTTTTAAATGAGCTGTACTGCACTATCTCCCTGTATGCGTCATCTTGCACTCTTCTGAGAAGCTGATCCTAAAAGATGCCAGAAACTCTCATTGGAGTAGTCAATTGGAGTTGCATGCCATGTGGCTTCTTTTAAAGATCAATTTAAAGTCGTCTCGGACAACTGCGCATTGCTTGCCTCTGAGGCTGTTCTTTTCCCCAAAATGGTTTTCTCCCTCTTCTTAACACAATGGACCATTCACTGTTACCTCCTGTCTCCGGCATCTATCTTTAGGCCCTTTCCCAACAGGTGCCACGGTGATTTTGCCCAGCAACAAAAATAAGTCCAATGTTGATGAAAACTACCTGGCTAAAAACAAAATGGTACCCTACAGGTGGCAACTGTGGGATTACATCTCATTCAGAAATATGTGTGGGGTTGGTGTGTTTTTTTACAGAAAAGATCAATATTTACAGAAAAGATCAATAGTGTAGTGCTACTTCCTGCCAAGAATATTGTGCCTTCTGGTTTTTTAAAAATAACAATAAGAATTGGGCCTGCCTCTTGGCGCATGGAACATATAGATACAGACTAGCATGCTGGCCACATGGAAATAAAATGTGAATCATTTTTGTGGCCTCTTATACATTTGGCTCACATTTTGTGGATTATCAATATTTTAAGGCATAAACGCATTACAAAATCTGATGAAATCAAATTTTAGAGCATAAAATGGGGCCCTTTATGAACACAGAAAGCTGTTTACTGAGAGTATAGCTCAACATTGTCTACACTGACTGAAAGTGGCTCTCCAGAGTTTCAGACAGGACAGGAGTCTTTTCATGCCAGGGATTGAACTTGGAACCTTCTGCATTCAAAGCAGATCCACTACCACTGAGCCACAGCCCTTTTCCCACTAGAAAATAAACCTCTGCTTCAGGGAATTGTTGTTTCTGTTGAGCTCTAGTTCTATTCTTATAAGTAACTGACTGAAGTAACTTCGCCCTGACTTGACCTCTGAACTACCTCTGGTGGCCTTAACCAAGACTTGGTGTACTGATTCCTAAATCTGCTGCTGGCACAGGTAGTTTTAACCATCTGGTGTTAGACGAGATGAGCTTTTTCTGAGTCCAGGCATCTCTCTCCGCCAGTACAGGAGAGTAGTTTTGGCTCACCTCTTACTCCATCTAAAAGACCTAAGAGAAAGATCACTCCCAAGAGGAGACAGAAAAGACGTGTTGATTCTTCCAAGAAAAGAAGAAAAGCGCCAAGAGCGGAACAATACTCTGCGGAATCCCGTCGGAACAAAGTAAGTTTACAAAATTGACACACACCAAATTCTGAAGCTCTTGTACCGTTTGATTCTTTTCCTTTTTTCAACTTTGGAATTCTCTTCTTCAGAGTGGAACTTCCATTGCCACCATCTTGAAAATATGTCAACAGACTGCTACTGTTTAATCAGCAACGGTAGTCTGTCTCATCTCCCTCTTTTTTGGACTTGTGTTCTCCTTGTACAAGCCCAATCATCATAACTGTTACAAAATATGTGTATAAATGGTACAGACAGGGCACACCAGCAAATAAATCCTGCTGGAAAAAAGTTCATCCAAAGTTCTCTGTCCACAGATGGAAATGTCTAGACAAGCCCTTAGAGTCAAGCTTTTTGCCAGACTTCATATCATCCTTTTCGGCTAAAAATCATTTCTTGAAATGGGTGTATTTCCATCTGGAATAGTCTTACCAGTAGTGCCTGAGGGTTACTGAGGAAATATTACCAGTTGACTTCCTTTCTTAGCATGGCACAAGGCTGCTCTTAGCACCCCCTTATAATGGGGCATCAAAGGAAAAGCTGGGTCACAAGAATTGGTCTGTAAAATCTTTTCAATTTCATGGCCATCAGCTTAATATTTGATGTCAGCCATTTGTTTTGGAGGCCTAAAATGCCTCCTCAGAACTTGAGGGATGTTTTGAGGTGGTGAAAATTGGCAAGAGATATTGGGGCATCTCTTTGAGCAATCACAGCCCAGGATTAGCAATCTGCACTTGGACATCTGTGGGATGTCTTCACTAAAGCTTTAGGTTCTTCATAGGTCGTAGAAATGGCTTGGTTTGACATTGTGGAGGCTTGCCGAAGGGTCCCTAACTTTTGAACCTGCATCAGTAGACTGAAGTTGATGTTTGTGTGTGCTTTATTTTACAGTATTAAAAATGCCTAGCTTTGGATTATTTCGGTCAATCTGGACATAGGACGTAAATGTATGTGACTGGTTGTCTTTTTCATCTTGCCAATGCCACTGCTTCAGGTTTCCTCAGAGGCAAATATTCCCGCAAAAGCAAACAAGCAAAACCCACCCCAAGCCGCTCATTTGAAATTCATGAGTACTCCAAGTCCGAACTCCCAAGTTTAAGGCTTGTGCATTAGAAAAGGTGGTGGTGGTGGGAGCTGTTTCTGTGGTTCACTAATAAATAGGCAAAATGCAGTGTTGTGTAGGAAAAGAAGCATTTGCCCAGTAGCTTTCATTCTTAAATAGACAGTCGCTCAACTTCGCTCTAAAACTAATTTGTTAGATGGTCAAACATGAAGGCTATGCAGTCCTCTGCTTGCATTGTCCCACGAGGAATCTGAGGGAAGTATATTTTATTAAATACAGGCATTGTATTTGTTTGGAGAAACATATTGGCAAAAAACCTCCATGCTAGGTCTTGGTAGTGCATTGTGTGGTGCTCGGATATTTTGATTGTATATGTCTATTGTTTAAAAGTATGGATTTCAGGCATCTTTAATATCTTTAGCCAAGGCCTTTTTAAACAGTTTAAGCAAGTGGACTAGGGGCTCACTTAAAATTTGAAGTCTTCTGTTATGTTACTTAAGAATACGAGTCTACAAAAGACCTGCGTTCTAGCATACTTCACAAGCTGGTTGGTATTTCCATATGATCATCTCAGTTTCTTAGATCAGTGATTTCCATACAGGGGCTCAAGCTTCACCACCATTTGAGGGATTTCGCAGAAAATTTTACTATCACTTCGAATGTCATATATGATAACGCTCATGTGAAAAACATGGAAGGATAACATCACGGGGAGTGCAAATTAGTGGAGATGAAGTTTATAGTCCTAGACACACTTATCTGGAAGTAAGTCCCATTGAACTCAATGGGGCTTACTTTTTAGTAGATATGTGTAGGATTGCACCATAAGCCTCACCAGTGACTACTAAACATATGGAAAATGGGGTGCTGGGCTTGCTAGTCCCTTGGTCTGCTCCAACACCAGATTAGACTATGTTCTTTATCTTTCTGGACTTTATTTCACTGACACTATACATTTGAAAGCATGGTGATAATGCCCCAAGTCCAAAGCTGGGCTTTGGCTGTGTAAAATTGAGCTGGAAAATGAACCAAAGTGTGAGAGTTGGGTGGGAAAGATCTGATTTTCACCCTTTGTGTAAATATATGCATATTTAGATGTTGCATCCACTAAGAGAGATTGACAAGATCCTGGGACAACTAATGGATGGGCTGAAGCAGTTGAACCTGCACCGATGTGTCAACATTATCTTCGTTGGTGATCATGGTAATTATTTATTTTATTTTATTTTTCAAACTTAGTGCAAAAGTCTCAGCTAATGTTTTTTTAAATACTTAAAGGTATCCAGTTAGCAAAAGATGTCAAGGGAGTGTTGGTAAATGAGAGAGCTGCTTCTTTAGGAGTCGTTCAGCTTCCAGCGTGTGTCTTCATGTTTTTAAGGCATACACATATCGTTGTGTGGAGAATAGGGAGAAACATGTGAAATGAGTGCAAACACAAATATCTAAAGGAAGAAAGAGGATGAGGTGTTGTCTTGCAGTGGTTTGTTCCCACTTCAGGCCTTCTGAAGTCTAGTCTCGTTTGGCAATTTGTATTTGACTTTATCACATTTATCACGAATGTGTCAAACAGTTTGCTGAGAGATGAACTACTGAAAGGTTAAAAGCAACAACAAAACAATCCGACCAAAGAAGGATAGTTCAGATGTCACCCGCCTGAAGAGTTCACTGCTTGTCTCGCAAACCTATTAATTTAGTCATAAGAACTGAGATTCTGCTTGGGCTGCTGGAACAACTTTTGAAACAAGCCCACACAATACGAGTTCAGTCTAGGACAGAGATGATGGCAATCTAATTCCTTATTTGAGCATAGGTTGTTGATGGGTCAGGGCTGCAGCCCCCAGAAGTGAATGTCAAAACCAGTTTGAGATTATTCTAGGCAGATAGGATGACCTCATACAACTTTTTGATTCTTTATGTTTGGTGAGTGTGTGTGAATTCTTTTTACTGAAGTCTGGCCAGGGTAATGTGCAATCAATCATTTCTAAGAGTATAAAGACAAGAATAACGCCAAGAAGCTACAATTATAACTACAGAAACCTTGACAAGGTTGATAATTTAGTCATGGACCTCAGGTGTATTCAGCCACCTCTTATTGCTAACAGGTGTTTTGTAGGGCTATTTTACTTTTAAAAGCCAACGCATTAGTATTTTCAGTGTTCAGGTTGCAGTCTTAAGTATACGTTCTAGAGAGAAGAATCATGCAAGTCAGCGGAGCCTAAGCTCTGAGTAAACATCCTGAAGATTGGGCTGCAAGTCTCTGTTTTTAAATTTGCTTGAATTCCTTAGCAGAGGTTTACTGTGCTTGTCATAGTTCTTTGATATTCTAACTGCATTTTATTTCCAAGCCTGATTTTATGCCTTTATCTTCACCACAATCACCATCTTAGCAAAATCTTAGACACTTCTGATTGGTCTTATTTATGACTAGGTGTGTTCTCAGGGAGGTTGTCATTGGATGGGGGCACATGCTGTGAAGTTAAAGAAGTAAACTGTTAAGGGCTCCCAGAGTCTTAACCTCACCATTAGTTTGCTCTCAAGTAACAAATATTGATGCCGGAGTCTCCCTACCCCTTTCTAAATCATGTTTCTTGGTACAGGGATGGAGGATGCCGCTTGTGAAAGAACTGAATATTTAAACAACTACCTGTCTAATGTGGATGACATAATTCTGATACCAGGAACACTGGGGCGCATTCGTGCCAAAGCTAACAGCAATGTCAGATGTAAGTTGATCTTAGCAGTGTTCACCTTGCACCTTTGCGTGTGTCCCAGTATATATACTTTTCCTGCTGCCAGAAATGTTGTTAGTATGAAGATAACACTCTTGCTGAGAGCGATCTTGTTTTAAGAGACACTTCCTAATTCAGGGATTTTGAGATATCAGTGATGTTTAGGAATGACAAATTCCCTATTCATTTTCTTGCATTTATCTTCCACTTTACTTTCTCCACGGAACACAAGGGGGCAGATGATATAATTCTCAGATGATCGCCCATCCCTGTACTGACCAGACTCTGACTTGCTTAGCTGTAGCAAGCTGTAGCAAGCCTTGAGTGCCTTCAAACCATAACCTGCTTCCTGTTGTTTGACAAGGAAGGGGGAACCTATAGTCCAACAGGTGCTGATGAGCTACAACTTTCATATATAATATAATTTATTATTTATACCCCGCCCACTCTGGGCGGCTCCCAATAGAATATTAAAAACATGCAAAAACATCAAACATTAAAAGCTTCCCTTAGCAGGGTTGCCTTCAGATGTTTTCTAAAAGTCAGGTAGTTGTTTATTTCCTTGACATCTGATGGGAGGGTGATCCACAGGGCGGGCGCCACTACTGAGAAGGCCCTCTGCCTGGTTCCCTGCAACCTCACTTCTTTCAGTGAGGGAACCGCCAGAAGGTCCTCAGCACTGGACCTCAGTGTCTGGGCTGAATGATGGGGGCTGTGCTGGTTGGAGCTGATAGAATCAGAGTGGGAAGGGACCACAAGGTTCATGTCGCCCAACCCCCTGCAATTCAGGAATCCTTTGTCCAACGTGATGTTCGAACCTACGACCCTGATATCAAGATCCTCATGCTCTACTGACTGAGCTATCCCACCAGTCATTGGTTGTTGTAGTCAAGCAACATTTGGAGAGTCACAAGGTCTCTATACCTGTCCTAACAGATGTCATTATAATATTTCATCCAGTGGGTTGGATCTATGGAGCTGAGAGTAGAAGTGTGGGGAGCAGCTGGCATTATTCTGCAAATAGGCAATAGTCCCCACAACACTATAAACCAGTAAGTTTTAGAGTACCATATTTTTTGCTCTATAAGACTCAATTTTTCCCTCCTAAAAAGTAAGGGGAAATGTGTGTGCGTCTTATGGAGCAAATGCAGGCTGCGCAGCTATCACAGAAGCCAGAACAGCACGAGGGATTGCTGCTTTCACTGCGCAGCGATCCCTCTTGCTGTTGTGGCTTCTGAGATTCAGAATATTTTTTTTTCTTGTTTTCCTCCTCCAAAAACTAGGTGCGTCTTGTGGTCTGGTGAGTCTTATAGAGCGAAAAATACGGTAGCTATGCTTACCCAAGTAGAACATCATCCTGCCTTCTTTGTTTCACTTTTCTTGTGCAGTGCTCTAGCACAAAACATAAATGTTTCTTCCACAAGCAGGGGACCCTTTCCACACGTCTAAATGCATGGTTTGGATCCATCCCAGAATGCAAAATAAAAGCATTTTTAATACGAAAGCTAATTCTTGTTCTGAAAACTTTTTCTCTAGCTCAAGGTTCAGTTGATTTCTTTTTTCTCCCCTTTCTCCAACAGATGATCCAAAAGCCATCGTTGCTAATCTCACAGTAAGTATTTGCTTAGCACACACTCTTGTGGCTTCTAATTATGGGCTGAGCATTTACAGTGCTTAACTAACACGGGACTTGGTCAAGAGGATGCTGATCAGACCATCATAAAGCCTCCTAAATAGGATCGTTCATGGGTGTGGAAGAAGGCACATCATGATTTCCACTGTTTTGTTGCTGCTAACAGATTTTTATAACTTTTCTGGATAACATGCACCGACTTAATGCCTTAATTCTCTGAACAGAGTCCCTTTATCCCATCCTTTTGGAAATGGAAAAAGAAAACTCTTTTCCAAGTAAATATTTTGCTAGTACTCCATTGAAAGAATTGACATCTCTGTTTTAAAAAAGTGGAGAAAAAAAGAGTTTAGACTTGGAGTTTGGATCTTTGAAAAAATGGAAGTCATCTCAGCATTGTGTTAACACAATTTCTTTCCACCCTCAGCTCCCCAATCTTAAATATTTTGGTGGAAGAAATTAAGCAAACAGTCTACAACTCACTGCAATCAATTGCAGATGAGAAACTCTCAGCCCAAACTGTGGTGGTTGTATCCAACCAAGTTATACTCGTAGGAGACCCATTTAAATTAATGGATCTAAAGTAGGTATGCCCACTATTTTCAATGACTCTAACACTGGATTTGGGTTGTAAGAAGGCTACTATTTCCCTCCTGCTCTTTCTTCATCACAATTGGCGCTGTTTCTGTTTTGCCACGGTTCGGTTTCCACCCAACACTAAACTTTTCACGTTGCTGCCTGCTGTGTAGTGTCACCTTTGCCACTTACAAATTTAGCATAATCAATTATGTCATTATTTGCACACTGTTCATTTCAATATGAAGGAAGCATCAAAACAAAGTGGAAAAAAGTCATTCATTGTGTATCGGCTGCGGGCTTTAAAAAACCAACATGGTTTTCAGTGAATACAAATCATATTAGCTGGATTGATACCGATCATATTCACTGGATTAATTTCCTTTCTAGACCTGGGATGGTCAATTTGTGCTTCTGTTTCCTACTGGAATTCTCTGACATCCCTACATTAGATGTTACTGTAGGTGTTTGGGTCATGAAGCCTCAGCTCGCTGCTTATGTGCCTGTAACCTCAAGTTAAGTTCTCACTTGAGCATGGGTGTTTGGCAAGCCTGCTGCCTGAAACCCTGTGGAGCTGCTGCCAATCAGAGTAGACAGTACTAGTAAAGGTAAAGGGACCCCTGACCATTAGGTCCAGTCGTGGACGACTCCGGGGTTGTGGCGCTCATCTCGCTCTATTGGCCGAGGGAGCTGGCGTACAGCTTCCGCGTCATGTGGCCAGCATGACTAAGCCGCTTCTGGAGAACCAGAGCAGCACACGGAAACGCCGTTTACCTTCCCGCTGGAGCGGTACCTATTTATCTACTTGCAATTCATGATTTTGAACTACTAGGTTGGCAGGAGCAGGGACCCAGCAACGGGAGCTCACCCCATGGCGGGGATTCGAACCGCCGACCTTCTGATCGGCAGGTCCTAGGCTCTGTGGTTTAACCCACAGCGACAATACTAGTAGAGGTGGGCAAATGATCTGACTTGATATAAGCTTTATAAGAGATAGAGGGTGCACTGCTATTAAGTAAGGATAGGTTTAGAAAGGGTTCCTGCTTCTGGCGGCAGATGACTTGGATGACGACCTGCCATTCCCTGTTATAAACTCCATAGCTCAGTTGGTAGAGCATGAGACTCTTAATTTCAGGGTCGTGAGTTTGAGCCCCGGACTGGGCAAAAAGGTTCCTGCACTGCAGCGGGTTGAGCTTGATGATCCTCGTGGTCCCCTTTCCAACTCTACAATTCTGTGTTTCAGTGCAGGAAGCCTGACCAGCACTTCAAGCCGTATTTGAAGCAGCACCTCCCTAAGCGTTTGCATTACGCCAATAACCGAAGGATCGAAGATATTCATTTGCTGGTGGAAAGAAGATGGCATGTGGCCAAGTAAGCAGACGTCTTCCTCCGCTTATGACTTTTTGCCTTTCGAGATTTCCAATGATCTACATTTAACACCTGTAAAAAAAAGCAGTAAATTGAGCTTGGTTTCTTATCCATAGCTAAAGAAACCAACCATGTCTGCATCAGTAGCTGTTGACATACAGAATTGCTGCATGGTTACTCATTAGTCTCAAAAAGAGAGTCCTATAGAGAATTATAAAAACGTACATCTTGCAAGCTGGACTCGATAATATTGAAGAGTTTCCTATTGCAATAGTTTTTCTTTGATTTCCTTAGCGGCAACAGCTATAACAGTATGAATGATCCTCAGAATTATAAAATAATATTGCTTAGACCAAGGTTGCAATCCTAGCCTTGCTTATTTGTGGTTTACTTGTGAGTAGCTGTTGCAAGGATTGCAGCCTTAGTTTTTCAAGAGTTGAGAAGAGGTTTCTTGCTAAAAAAAATTCTAATGGTGTGTTAGATTTTCATTAACATTTAACTAGGGTGGCTAATTGTCTGTCTGTCTGGGGGCAGGTTGATTCAGTTCACAATTAAAGTTGAATCTTTCAAATTTGTAGTTCCTGGAACAATATGAAAACAGAAATGCAGCCGTCCTTTGAAATTCACACCTATCTGAATTTTTAGCTGCCCAATCAAAAGAATGTTTACAAAAATGCATATATTAGCGGGGAAATGCGAGTGAAAGCAAATATATTGGTGAAAATAACATGCAAAAATGTGTGGTATTAGGATAAATTGCTTGCATATATATACATGTCAAAACACCATACAAAAGTGTGTGTGTTGGGTTTAAAGTCGCACAAAAATGTTGAATAATTTTCATGAGGTTTGGGTTTTTTAAAAATTGCAAATTGCTGCAGAAATGTGAAGAACTGAATTTGAATTGAAAATGAGAAACAGAGAGAGAGTCAAAATTAACAGATCCTTTTACCCCTACCTTTGCGTAAATAGCTGTCTTCCTGCAATCGGTCATTTCCAGATGACCTGCTTATTGAGCATTCAACCTGATTTATTTAAAGTTTATCCAATGGTTCCGCAACCTTGTATCAAGCCATTGTTATCCCACATTTTAGTGTATTGTTGCAACGTTTCCCTTGCCGCTAAAAGTTAGGCTTGTGGTTCTTTTTTTGGCGGGGTTGGGGAGCAGGCTTGCTTCAGTCCTGCAACCTTAATTTGCTGTGATTGAATCCCACCAGTAAAAAAAGTGGCATATAAAGGTGCCCTCCGTGGGGAACTGAACCTTAAGCTGCATTTGAACTCCTTTGTGGCAGTAAAAGAACAACAACGTATTCTTAAAACCTCTAGGAGACCTGGAGACGTGTTTAAGAAAATATCAGGAAAATGCTATTTCCACGGAGACCACGGCTACGATAACAAGATCAATAGCATGCAGGTAAGCGGTAGCAGAATACTCAGAGGTGGCATGGCAGGTATGGATAGCACAAAAGTAACATTCCTGAATTAGCTTAAAGGGTAGGCAGAATGCTTTGTCTCCCAGCTGGGTAGTAATATTGCTCTCCCTACTCATTAGAGGTTCAGAGGGGTTGTGTATTTCCTCTCTTGGTGCTAAACAGCATGGGGCTGAGATTGGAAATGAAGCCTCTGGCTACTGTTTGAGATGAGAAGCCGACATTACCTTCCCAATCCCTATTCCAGCACAGGAGTGGAAGTAGGTGGGAAGTCTCAAAGTAGAAGGCAGCATTTCCAGACATTTCACTCAAGCACTGGAATGGACAAGGCTGGATATTGGGGGCAGGGAGTGTTTGTGTGTAGGAGCATCTGGCTGCTTGTGTTTGTGACAGAGGGGAGACTACAGGTCTGGTGGGCATGTGTGGACACTGTGTGTTTAAGCGCAGACATGGGCCACAAGCAGCTGGAACGTGGCCCTCGGAAGACTGGTTTGAACATCAGCGTGGCCCTCTAGACAGCCGCTCCCAGATTACAAAATGCATTCGGCCACAATGACGCTACTGTTTCTTCTTTTCTGTCTTTCTCTCTTAGACGGTCTTTGTAGGCTACGGACCTTCGTTTAAATTCAGGGCAAAAGTGCCTCCTTTTGAGAATATAGAACTTTACAATGTGATGTGTGGTAAGTGGAAACACTTGTTCTTTCTTTCTTTCTTTCTTTCTTTCTTTCTTTCTTTCTTTCTTTCTTTCTTCTGTTCTAGGACCACATTTTTCTTTTGAGCAGTTCTGTTGCAGGCTGAAGAGCAGAATCCTATATTGCTGCCTCTTGCAGGGCAATCTGCCATGCTTCCTTAACTCCCGTTGCTCTGTCCCAGCTCCTGCCAACCTAGCAGTTTGAAAGCACACCAGTGCAAGTAGATAAATAGGTACCGCTGCGGCGGGAAGGTAAACAGTGTTTCTGTGTGCTCTGGTTTCCGTCATGGTGTCCCATTGTGCCAGAAGTGGTTTAGTCCTGCTGGCCACATGACCCAGAAAGCTGTCTGTGGACAAATGCCAGCTCCCTCGGCCTGAAAGCGAGATGAGCGCCGTAACCCCATAGTCGCCTTTGACTGGATGTAACTTTCCAGGGGTCCTTTACCTTTACCTTAACCTTAACCTGCCCTTCAGCAAAAGTGCTTTCTGTGTGGCTAACTAATAATAATAATAATAATAATAATAATAATACCCCAGCAGTAATTAAAATTCACATAATGTCACAATGGCCAGGAGTAAAACATGGTGGCCAGGTGAAATTGTCTTAAGCAGAGATTGAAAAGATGTTCACCTGATGCTGAAAAGACTGTTTTTGTCTCTCTGGCCGTCTCTGCATCATCTATCCCTTTCCACACATGCCTCGAGGCATTGTGTGACATGCAATAAAAATAGTTAAAAACAGCACAAGCAATAACACCAGATGAACAATGCGAAGTAACAGCCATGGCAGAAAGCTCTTCTAAAGAACAATTTGCTGGCGACACACCATAAGTTGCTGCCTCGGGAGACAAGGGGCCATTCCATTTGCAGTCTTGAAAGTGCCACAGCGAGCTGGCATGCGGAACTTAGTTTCATTCTATGCACCTTCCAGATCTCCTTGGATTAAAGCCTGCTCCTAATAACGGGACCCACGGAAGCTTAAATCACCTCCTGCGGAGCAACACGTATAAGCCAGTCATGCCAGAAGAAGTTACTCGGCCGCTCTATCCTGTGGCCACAACACCTTCGTCTGACTATGACCTGGGATGCACCTGTGAGGACAAGGTAAGGGTGTGGGAAGCTCTGGCTACTGGGAAAGTCCACCAGGCAATCGCCTCTTTGAATGTCTGCTAGCAATGTCTGAAATGCTTCATGGTGACCAGTGTGTAACGTGACCTGACAAGTGATACGAATCATTCTCTCCTGGACCGCCATTGAATGTGTCTCAGGTTGCCTGTAGTAGGCTAATTTCCCCCCTTGCAATGAGCAATGCTCTGAACTGGTCTCCTCCCTGCCGCTGCTGATAATAATAATAATAATAATAATAATAATAATAATAATAATTTTTTTTTTATACCCCGCCCTTCCTGGTTCAAAAACCGGGCTCAGGGCGGCTAACAACAAATTTAAAACACTTTAAAACACTTAATTATAAAAGCAGCATAAAATACAGTATAAAAACATGAATAACAATAAAATTCAAAATTCAATTAGATAATCCCCAGGGCTAGCTGACTGAATTAGTCCTACTTGGGCCAGCGAGGAGGCCAGGGGAGAATTAGCTGTGGGGTCTCAAAGTGGGTGATCTTCATAAAAGGGGAGAGGGAGGGAAGAGAAGGGAAATAAAAGAACAAGCTGAATTCAAATTAAAGGCCAGGTGGAATAGCTCTGTCTTACAGGCCCGGCGGAAGGAGGTTAAATCCTGAAGGGCCCTGGTCTCATGGGACAGAGTCTCATGATGATGAGTAGGAGGCAGAGAGCAAGTTCCACTCCCTAGACTGGTTGTAAGGAGATGGGCGCTGGCTGAGGTCGATCTTGCTGGGTCCAGTGGCACCCAAGAAACCTTCCACGGCAACCTCACTGAGTTTTTCTCGGTTTTTCTCCCTTAAAAAATACATGGAGCTGAAGGAGGTAGATGGAAGAGTGATTCTCTGTCCCGCTTCCTGTTTCAACTCTATGTGCCTTTCAATGATCAGGTTAATTCTACTGGATCTGACTTTTACCCAAGTTCATTGGGAAAGTGCTGCCTGTGTGTGTGTTTTTGTTTCGGCGGGAGCCTGGGAGGTGATCAAGGGGAAGGGGAGAGTAGTCACAAAAGCAGCTGGTGCTTACAGCACTTGCTGAAAAATCCAAATGTCACAGTAAGCCCCCAAAGGTTGGCAAACCCTATGACTTTGGTTTTTAAAAATCTAAGCCTTTGTATGTTTTTTGCTGCAAAGGGAGCCAGTTTTCAAATGCTAAGATGATGTGGTATGCAGATTCCTGGAGAGATGGGGCCTGGAGTCTTGCATAATGAAAGGTCCTGCTATAAGGAGGCCTGCAGGGCAAAGCAGTTGACTTGACTGCAGCTTGAACCTTGCACAAATCCATCCAACCCGTATGGTCAGTCTTCTCAGTTTAGCTGCATGGATTGGCCTGGGCATCCTACCAAGTAGAGGACTGTTCAGACACTCATCAAGAGAAGACCTTAAACAAAGAACTGAGCGGATTTTTATAACCCCTTTTGATTTGGCGTGCATGCAGAACTTTAGCAAATTCTTTCTTGTCAGTAGTTGCTTGCAAAGGGGTATAGCAGAAACATGTCCTTACAAATTAGGAAATCTTACCCAGAGCCCTTCTGACAGGACTAGTCTTGCTTTGCAAGGTAAATATTGAGAATGGGAATAAGAGAACGTTCTCTTAGTCCAGCTGCCGATCTTTTAGTTCAGCTGCCAATCTCCTATGTGCTCTCTGTGTGTGCTTTCTCTTTTTTTAATAGAATAAGCTGGACGAACTCAATCGGCGTCTTTATGTCAAAGGAACGGAAGGTGAGGACACGGGGGCCGACTCAGTAAAATGAACCATTTTATTTCTCATGCTTAGCTTTACTAAACTGCCAGTTTAACATGATAAGAAACCAACCCAGCATCTTGTGCATTTCTAACCAGGCAAATTTTGCTAGAAGTTGTTTAGGGAGCTTATGCACCCCTCACCCAAATCCCTTGCTAACTATCTGGTCCCATCTCTTCTGCCACACTTAATAGCTGCCGTGGCTGCAGTGCTATGGTAGCAGCAGGCATGAGCCAAAGGGCAGGGCACTTTGATTCCCCTGGGAAATGTAGTTTTATAATACTAGGTGCTGGGGAGATGCCTTGCCTGGAAGCCTGTCACTGGTGGAGCAGTTCTTGCGCGCATGCGCACATGTGGAAAATCAGTGGGGGGGGATTGAGTGAGCAGAGCCTGAACCAGATAAGAATTTTTGGGTGTTGTAATACTTGTTTCTTATTTGAGGTGTGGGAACCCGGGAATGCAAGTTGCAGCAACGCTGGCTATCTTTAGAGCCCTTCTTAATGTTCAGAGGGAACCCCCATGCTGTTGCGTGAAAGCTTTCAACCCTGGAAAGCAGACTGATTTTACTTCCAGTGTGCTTAAAGACAGCTGTGTGTATCTTGTATTTTTTTAAAGGTGTACACAAGTAGGGTCTTGCAGACGTTGATTAGACCACGAGGTTGGTTGTAGCTCTCTGATGAGTATACACTCGGTGGCTGGCTAACCTAGGTTTGCCATGACATAATGTTTGAGCAGGGGTGGAGAATCTGTGGTCCTCCAGGTGTTGGGCTCTAACTCCAACCCGCCCCAGCCGGCATGGGCTGGGATGATGGGAGTTGCAGTCCATTAACTCAGCCACAGGTTCCCTGGCCTGAAACGCCCCCTAGTCCACTGTGGTGTAGTGGTTAAGAGCGGTAGACTCGTAATCTGGTGAACCGGGTTCGCATCTCCACTCCTCCACATGCAGCTGCTGGGTGACCTTGGGCCAGTCACACTTCTCTGAAGTCTCTCAGCCCCACTCACCTCACAGAGTGTTTGTTGTGGGGGAGGAAGGGAAAGGAGAATGTTAGACACTTTGAGACTCCTTCGGGATATCAAATCCAAATCTTCTTCTTCTAGTCAGCTTGCAGCAGAGAGGACTACCCAGTCATACTTTATGCTGCTTTGCAATTCTGCTCCCCAAATTACTGTGGAAAAGCTGCCTAGTATTGGGTAGTGGTGCAGAGATCATAGGTGTGGCTGATTATTGTGGTTTGGAGGGGTTTATTTTATATATATATATATTTCTTTGCAAAGTGGCTTTTATACATTTATGAAATGTATGTATTGTATTGCGTGGGTCCCACGCACAATCTTCTGTACGTTGCAGATAACAAGCACCTCCTCTATGGTCGCCCAGCTGTTCTTTACCGTACAAAATACAGCATTTTGCACCACCACGACTTTGAAAGTGGCTACAGCGAAACATTCCTGATGCCTCTCTGGACGTCCTACACTATTTCAAAGCAGGTGACTGTTTTCCTGAATCTCTTAATGCATCCTATCAGACACATCATTGACTTGGCTGGATTGGTAAAGAAAAAACAATTTATACATGTTGTATATGCGATATAACATTGTGCCACCAGATGGTGATGTGAAGCCCTGTTTTTCTCTACCTATTTTCCCTGTTTAAATTTACAGCGCTTTAAACTGAAACACTTCTTTGATGTGTCTAGATCCAGCCTGTGTTTAAGTGGTTTTCCCATAGTAAGACAGCCCTCTGAATACTAATGGACCTGCATGCAGTAGGAGAATATTTTTTTCTTCCATACAGTATTATATTTGAATTGTGGACCTTTATGCCATTGCCAAAGTCCTGAAGGCGAACATTGCAAATGAGCAAATAATGAAGGCATGTATTGCATTGAGAGAGAGAGATTATTTGGCACGATTGATTTGTACAGCACCAACTGTGTAGGTAGAACTTTACTGAATAGCACAGAGGTTGTCCTCTGGCCTGAGCAGAGTTCAGTCCACATTTTGACAGAGAAAAGGTCAAGGGAGGAAGGGAGGACAGAGGCAAGGAGTAATAGGGAGGGAGCTTTTTAGGGAGTCAATGCCATTCAAAGGGCATGTTTCCACCTTGAGGGTTTTTTTAGGATGCCTTTTGTTGTTTAGTCGTCTTAGTCGTGTTTGACTCTCCGTGACCCCATGAACCAGAGCATGCCTTGGAAACTCTCACTTTCTTCTCAAAGCTTCTCCTTTTTTATGTCCATGGAGTTTTCTTGGCAAAATACTGGAGTGGTTTGCCAGTTCCTTCTCCAGGTGGATCACATTTAGTCTAAACTCTCCACTATGACCTGTCTGTCTTGGGTGGCCCTGCACGGCATAGCTCAGAGCTTCTTTGAGTTATTCAAGCCCCTTCGCCACAACAAGGCAGTGATCCAGGAAGGGGTTAGGATGCCTACTCGGGTCCAAAACACAGGAACACCCCATCATGTGTGCCCTGATCACTACTTCCATGGACTTCAGGAACAAAGCTAGAAGGAGGTCCCCATTTACTGAGCCAGACCATTGGTGTATCTGGCTCAGTATAGTCCGCACTGATTGGCAGAGGCTGCCCAGGGTTTCAGGCAGGGAGTCTTTGCCAGCCCTACCTGGGAGATTCCGGGGATTGAACCTGGGACCTTCTGCATGCAAAGGAGATGCTCTGCTGCTAAGCTATGGCCCCCTTCCCCCAAAGACTACCCTCCATTTCTGTAAGCAGAACGCGACTGAAAGGGGTTTGCCCTTCTTGGAAGCATTTAGCTAGCAACTGCCTCTCCCCTTATGAACCAACACACGGGCCCTGCAATCATCCTCTAAGGCCCTTCTTCATGTGCCTCTTCCACGAGGGTGGAAGTCCAGAGGGTGGCAACACAAGAGTGGGCCTTTTCTGTGGTGGCTTCCCGTTTGGGGAATGCTCTCCCCAAAGAGGCTCACTGGAGGCTCATTCCATACCTTAAGGCTCCAAGCGAAAACATTCCTCTTCTCCCAGGCCTTTGGCTAATTACAGAATCTATGGTCTTTTAAACTCTGTGTGTGTGGGTGGGTTTGGGGTGGGGTATCGTTTTTGTTTGTTACTATGTTACATTTTTTATTTTATTTTAACATTGTAAACCGCCCTGTGATCCTTGAATGAAGAGCAGTATAGGGATCTGATCATAGCTATCAACCGTCCCTTATTTGGCGGGAAACTCCCTTATCCCAGTGCCGTGTCCCGCTGCTGTCCCTTATTGATGATGTCCCTTAAATTTCCCGGGTTTCAAAGGAAGCAGCTCCTCTCCCTCCCTCCCTGCCAGCCAGGGAGGAGGGAGGCTCCAACTGTGTTGCTTGGCTGCGTTGCTCACCCAATAAGGAGTCTAAGAACGACTGGGGGGTGGAGCTTGCATGCCTTGTGCCGATCAAATTGGCCGCGTTGCCTTTGCTCAGCGCTTCCCAACGGAAAGGTGACGGTGGTTTTCTTTGCTGCATCCCCTTTGCTGGGTTGCTGCACTGTAGGAACCACCGCTTGAGGCTTCATTTGGCTGCTGGCTGGGCTTTCTGCCTTTGGCTCGGAGGGGCTCAGAAGTTGAACATACCTGTGCCCGGAAAATCCCTTATTTTGGCTGCTGATCCCTTATTTTCAAGGCTGCTGGTCCCTTATTTTCAAATCTGTAAGTTGGCAGCTATGGATCTGATAAATGAATAAATTTGTGGGTAACAGGTTTCTGGGTTTTCAGTCTAATCCAACAGGGCTCTCTTCCTTTACTCCAGGGTGTGAGACGGGGAATTGGGTTTGCATTGCATATCTAAGTACGAAACATGCAAGAGAATAGGCTCTTTTAAGAAGTGGTGCACTTGGGTCGGTCTTTTTCTGAACAACAATGGAAGAGTAGGCATTAGATTTCTGTGCTTGCTAGGGGATCCAGAAGCTCCATATTTTCCTGCTGAGAAATTCTGAATAGTAAGCAGCATCTAAGTAAATGAAATAAACAGAAGTATTTCTCCTCCTCCTTCTCCTTCTCCTTCTCCTTCTCCTCCTCCTCCTTCTCCTCCTCCTCCTCCTCCTCCTCCTTCTCCTCCTCCTCCTCCTCCTCCTCCTCCTCCTCCTCCTCCTCCTCCTCCTCCTCCTCCTCCTCCTCCTCCTCCTTCTCCTCCTCCTCCTCCTCCTCCTCCTCCTCCTCCTCCTCCTTCTCCTTCTCCTTCTCCTTCTCCTTCTTTCAATGCAGGCAGAGGTGCCTGGAGCCACAGAGCAGCTGGCCAACTGTGTGAGGCCTGACCTACGCATCTCTCCAAGCAATAGTCAGAGCTGCACAGCCTACAGAGTGGACAGACAAATGTCTTACGGATTCCTTTTCCCTCCCCGTAAGCTTAAATTTGGATATAGGGCACGGCGGCTACAGATTCTGACGCTTGCTGGCCATCTGTGCCAGTCCGAATGATGGTGATGGAACCTGAACAGGGCTCCAAACAAGGGGAAGCAAATCCATATGGGAGAGAACTTGCTGCTTTTGGTTGCTGCTGTTCCCACCGCTGAAGAGGCAAGCTGCTTCATAAGCTTGAGCAGCAGCAGGTCTCTTTCAGTTTAATATCCTCCCAAGTGATCTCAGGTGATGCTCTTCCCAATGCAGAGTTCTGTGAAACCCTGCATCCTCTAACACTAGCTTGAGATGATGTTAATTTACCAAAAGTAAATCTGATTTGTTTTATATTACCTCTCTGTCTTCTGTTCCTTGGTACCAAGGTATATTTAGCACTGTCCCTTTAGGGATACAATATTATTTCAGCATTATACTATTGTTTTGCTGGTGGTGTGCAAAAATCTATTCTGCAGTCAGACCCAGGTACATGCCACAGAAAGGAAGAAGTAGGGAGGTGCAGATTTCATGCAGCAGCAGAAAAACCTGAACCCAGAAAAACGCGCCCAGGGGGTCCATGGCGTTAGGGCAACCCAGTCAGATGGGCGGGGTACTTATCATCATCATCATCATCATCATCACCACCACCACCACCACCACCACCACCTGCCAGGGGACTCACTTATCTTGTTAATTGCACAGTGAATTAACCCCCCGCAACTAAATCTTTGTCATTTTTGCGTGGTAATATCACAAATTTGGTGGTCTGTTTTTCGTATACCTAAAATCCTTTGCTTATTAGGGTCTACCCCACATTTTATTCAAAAAAATTGCTTTGCACAGGTAGAAGGTGGAAAGATAAGTCCTTAGGATCCCTTCCCCCCTGAATTTTAAGATACTATGCTGGTTGTATTGGGTACATACACGCTTTTGCTGATCTTGCAGTTCCTATACTGGGGACTAAAAGGAGCTAATGTATTGGGGAAAAGAGGGGGTTTCTAACTGGATCTGTGATGGGGGCAAAGGATTAACCCCCCCTTCCACAGTCCAGCTCCAGCTCCCCCTGTCAATTGCCCCAACTATTTAGGTGTGAATTTTAGTCCCTTCTACTGTGGCACTGTGGGTTAAACCACAGAGCCTAGGACTTGCTGATCAGAAGGTTGGCAGTTCGAATCCCCACAATGGGGTGAGCTCCCGTTGCTCGATCCCTGCTCCTGCCAACCTAGCAGTCGAAAGCATGTCAAAGTGCAAGTAGATAAATAGGTACCGCTCCGGCGGGAAGGTAAACGGCATTTCCGTGCGCTGCTCTGGTTCGCCAGAAACAGCTTAGTTCTGCTGGCCACATGACCCGGAAGCTGTACGCCGGCTCCCTCGGCCAATAAAGCGAGATGAGCACTGCAACCCCAGAGTTGGCCACAATTGGACCTAATGGTCAGGGGTCCCTTTACCTTTTTACTATGGCAAACATTGCATTTAGTTTGGCTGTCTGTTTTGTGGCCAAAAGGAGTCCTTTTCCAGTGGACCAAGAACCAGCCAGTACTGTGTGTGCAGAGGCCTGGCCTTTATAGAGTCCAGGTGTGCCAACTTGGCCCCGCGACTGTGGATACCTGGGGTGCCACACTGCATGCATTGCCCTGGCGCTGAAATTTGTGGTTGCCTGGACCCTTCATGGGGATTTTTGTGGGTGGGCAGGTACCCAGAGCCCCAGGGAGTTGGCACTTAGGCCAGAGTCTTCCCACAGGGCAACTCATTGAACGAGTTAAAGGAAGAGAAGCTCTACTTGCTAAGGTGTTACCTACTAGCCCCTGGGATTAAATGCCTGTACTGTCCTCTTGTCTTAGGAAGAGCTCACAGAAGTCATAGAGAAGCATGCATGCATAACCAAATATCGGAAAGAGTGTCATCTCAGGTGTTAAGGTCATCAGAGGGGGTTCTCTTGGTGGTTGCATCCAGGAATTTCTGGAAGTGGTGGCTGTTGCCCAGGGCATTTTCTGTGGCAGCCTCTGAGCTGTGGAGTCCCTGCCCCACAGACGTGTATCTGACACCTTCCTTACGTAGTTTTCATATGATGTTTGTCCTGTCCTTTAACAACTCATTTATCTATTTGTTTTCAACAGATTTTTATACTGCATTTTTTTCTATTGTTGTAGCCTGTTCTGGGACCTTAGGAAGGGTAGAGGGATGCTCAAGAGACCATCACTATTTGTGGGTGTGAGGGGGAAGAGGGCTAGATCAACGCTCTCCCCATTCAATGTTTTCTCCAAGTACAGGGGATATCTGTCCTTGCAGTGTCTCAGTAGATACCATATCCACCAATATAAAGTAATCCCGACAGAAGGTATCGTTTTCTCTTTCAGAACTCAGTTCCTCAGCAGATGCAAAATACGATGCTTTTCTAATAACGAATGTCATTCCGATGTATCCTGCCTTCAAAAGTACGTACCTGGTTCTGACCTGCATTGGTAAAACTCTGCTTCTGTCTCTTCGGTGCATGTGCCTTCCTTCAGAGAGGCAGTGAATAAGGAAAATAACTCATTTAGGGTGCAAGTTCTCTCCATGGGGCTTAAAAGCTGTATGAGAACTTACTAGGTCTTAAGCCCCAGCATCTGCTTTCAATGCCAGGGCAGAATCCTTGGGGAAAATGAGTCAACGTGGTAATTTCATCTACCTGGTAATTTCAATGTGCACCAGAAAGCAGGGAAAGATCAGATTGTGCGTGCATGTTTTAAATCAGTACTTTTAATGTTACGTTTTAACAGTACCGTTCACAAACCTTCTCATAACTGTAAAGTTCATGGAAGCATCAATCATAAAAATAACTCCCCAGCTATGAGTTTATGAGGGGCATTTGCATGCTACCCCATAATGGAATTTGATTTATTAGCAGCTTGCAATAAATAAATAAAGTTAACCATAAAATCAAACTACAGAAACAAACATCGCAAAACCGTCTTCCACTGCCCAAAATTAAAACATAGATTTAAAACTTAGCTGCCCCCATCTGACTACATAAGTTTGTGTACAAGGCCTGGTCTTTATGTGCCACTGAAAAGACCACAGAAATGGCACCAGGCAAGGCTCCCTAGGAAAGCTATTCTATAACCAAGGTGCCATTACTGAAAAGGCCCTCTCCCTGGTAACTATCTGCCTCACTTTTCTTGGGAGCTCCACCCAGAGCACAATCTAGGAAGAGAATCTTAAGGTTTGGGTAGGTATATTTGAGAGAAGGCAGTCTTTAAGTAACCTTTTCCCAAGCTCTTAATGGCTTTAAATTGGGCCCAGAAACAGACTATGAATACAAAAGCCAACATCATGCATTGTTGTTTATATGCCTCCCATCTGACGGGGTTGCCCCAGCCATTCTGGGCAGCTTCCAACAGATTAAAACATCATACACAGTAGAACATCAAACATTAAAAAATTCCGTATACAGGGCTCCCTTAAGGTGTCTGCTGAGAAGGAGGCACCCTGAGCTGAAGAAGACAGCAGAGGCACTCCTCCAGATGAATTGTTTATTTGAGCATTCATCCTAATTTGCTTGCACAGAAGCTATATGCCTTCCTGCCAATCAGTTGCCGTCCCATACTTTTTAATGTGCTTCCCCATCACTTTCCTAACTGCAAGAAGCCTAGATTATTATTTTTTACAAGTGGATTTGATGTGACTGAGCACTTTTAAACCACTTGAACTGCAAAACCGTGAGTTTCCAGTGTGCAATTTAATCCCTCCCTAGGAATGCCGACAGACTGGCAGCGACTCATGAGCGAGTCTGTAAAAGCCTTGGTGCCTAAATGGGGCCATTGTAGGCACTGCTTGCCTGCGGAAGGCATCCTTAAAAAACACAAAAAACAGCACAGGGCAAATAGCATGATCCACCTAAAAGCACAATGTTGGGGAGCTGCAGTTGGCATCTATGTGTGCTTGCATGCGTAAGGTCATGTGTAAGGACAGCAAAAGAATCCCATCCTGTTTTTGTAGACAAGAACAATGTGATATCTGTGTGGTGCCCATTGCAATGCCAGTCTCAGAGTGGCACTGTGTATTTCCTTTGTTTTGGACTGGCCAGAGGGAGGGAATTGAGAGAACAAAACATGGGAACAGGAAAATAAAAATAAAAACAGAAAAAAATAAAATGAATTTGTATGATCTGCTGATCTTGGATACTTGACCCAAAAGCATGGGAAGTGAATCTTTGAATACTGTGCCAGGTTACTGAATATGAATGCATAAACACAGAATTGGTGGACTATGTACTATGTTTTTAAAAAGAATTGTCCTTGAGAATTATGGTTTTTATTAAAAGTTTTCAACGTAAAATACAATAAAAGCCAAACTAATCTAGAGAAAAGAAATATGAAAAGGGAGAAAATAAAGGAAGAGGAAGAAAAGAAGAGGAAGTAAATACAAGGCCCTTTATCACAATTATAACTTAACCCTTATTCCACAAACAGAAGAGTGATACCTTCCAACTATCACCTGGGAGCTTCCCCCTTTTCTCCCAGCTTGGACGGTGCTCTCCGCTCTGCCCCTCATTCAGGGCTCTTCATCGTCTGCCAATCCCCTTCCTGTGTGCATCTTCATTAATCCAAGATAGAAGACATCAAAAAAATCAAAGCATAAATAAATGCATATACAGTGGTACCTCGGGTTACAGACACTTCAGGTTACGGACTCCGCTAACCCAGAAATAGTACTTCAGGTTAAGAACTTTGCTTCAGGATGAGAACAGAAATCGTGCTCCGGCGGCGTAGCCGCAGCGGGAGGCCCCATTAGCTAAAGTGGTACAGTTTCAGGTTAAGAATGGACCCCCAGAACGAATTAAGTTCTTAACCTGAGGTACTACTGTAGAATCAACAGAAGTTTCTCTTTCTTAATCCACATGAGAAGTGACTTTTATAAACCACATTTCCTCTTATTGCTTTTAAAGATAATTCTCTCTCTCTCTCTCTCTCTCTCTCTCTCTTAAATTCAGAGGTGTGGAATTACTTTCAACGGGTTTTGGTGAAGAGATATGCCATTGAGCGGAACGGAGTCAATGTTATAAGTGGCCCGATCTTTGATTACGACTTCGATGGTTTGCATGATACGCCGGACAAGATAAAGCTGTAAGAATCTTCTCCTCTAGGCTGGAGTCTCTTTTGAATGCCAACCTAGGAGTTGAACTGAACACTGGGACTTAGCTATGCATGCATAAAGTTAAAGTACCCCTGACCATTAGGTCCGGTCGCGGATGACTCTGAGGTTGCGTGTTCATCTTGCTCTATAGGTTGAGGGAGCTGGTGTTTGTCTGCAGACAGTTTTTCTGGGTTATGTGGCTAGCATGACTAAGCCGCTTCTGGAGAACCAGAGCAGTGCATGTAAATGCCGTTTACCTTCCCGCCAGTGTGGTGTAGTGGTTAAGAGCAGTAGTCTCATAATCTGGGGAACCGGGTTCGTGTCTCCGCTCCTCCACATGCAGCTGCTGGGTGACCTTGGGCCAGTCACACTTCTTTGAAGTCTCTCAGCCCCACTCACCTCACAGAGTGTTTGTTGTGGGCGAGGAAGTGAAAGGAGAATGTTGGCCGCTTTGAGACTCCTTAAAGGGAGTGAAAGGCGGGATATCAAATCCAAACTCTTCTTCTTCTTCTAGCATACCTGTTTCCTTATGTGTGTGAAGATGATTTTGCCATCATTCTAGAAGGAACCTTCCAAGTGTTGTTGAACTCCCAAACCCTCAGCATTCCTGCTGGCCATGATAGCTGTTGAAGTCCAACAACATATTCTGGAAAACCTAGTATCCCAACTTTTGTTGCAAAAACTTGATATACTATAAATCCTTTTTAATAGGTAGCTGAACTGGGGGCTGTTATTTACCCAAAATCTGTTTCAACACGTCCTTTAGGTATGTTTGTAATTTTAAAAAATAACCAAAACCCCTCTCCTTTCTTCTAGGTATGTGGAAGGAAGTTCAATCCCAGTCCCAACCCATTACTATAGTATTATAACAAGTTGTTTAGATTTCACTCAGCCAGCTGACAAGTGTGATGGACCACTGTCTGTTCTGTCATATATATTCCCACACCGTCCAGACAATGATGAGAGCTGCTTTGTAAGTTCGAACAGATACCTTTGCTTTTTTTTCTTCTGAAACCAGGAAACAGGAAGAAAAGAGGGAGTAACTTCCAGTCTTGTTCGGCTGCAGTGATGTTCTGTCTCTTTGTTCTACCTGATGCAGGTCAGGAATTCTGTAATTAAGCTAAAAGTCCAAAAAGTGAAACTTCCAGCCCATGCTTTGGAGGTGCAGAATTTCGCTCCCTTGCATTTTGGTGCGGGGGGGGGGGGGGGGGCAAATGGGGTGAATTTCAGAAGACAGGGAGCAAAATTTGCTGACACAACACCTGCTTTTCAGATATTGGCAACCAGTGTGTAGTCGTTTAATCCTGAAAGAGGAAAGAAATAGGAAAGAGCTGTATTCATATTTCATTTTGATTTCATAAATCGGGTTTAAATTCCCACTTCAAATTTTAATTTGTTTTGACATTTTTTGTCAGTTTGGAAAATTATTGAGAACAATGAAACAAATGTGACTGCAGTGAACATGGTTTGAAATGAATTTAATGACCAAATACTGAAACAGAAGCAGGGTTTAATAATGGGAAAAAGTGATGCCACAAGAACAGCAGCAATCTTATATGCCCAAAGTTCTAATAACCTGAGAATTATCCAGCACTAATTTGAATAATTCAGGGTGATAAATTGTGAATGTTCACAAACATGGCCAACCAGGTTGAAAACAACAAGAAAATGACTTATAAAAACATGCTAGAATTCTCTTTCTCTTTCTCTTTCTCTTTCTCAGTAAAGCATGTTAAATCACTGAACTATGCAAAAGTATGCAGTTCATTAATTTTTATATACAGGCAACTCTGAATTTACGTGGGGGTTACATATTGGGGATGGTACATAAAGCCAAAATTGCCTATAGTCAAAACACATTGGGCACTGTGGCGGGTGGGATGACCAACACACATATATTTATTTGCATTTCCAGATGTTGTTAGACTGCAGCTTCTATCATCCAGCAGGCCAATGGTCAAGAATGATGAAAGTTGCAGTCCGACAACATCTGGGGAACCAAGACTGGGAAAGGCTGCTTTTGAGATGTAAGACTCCCAAGGAACACAGGTAAGCAATCACAGACTACCTAACACTGTAAGTGCTCTGGGCTTGCTTACCTGTGTTCCTCACAAGTTATGCTTATTAAGCCTATTTACACAGCAGAAGAGTTCCATTGTGAAAACAGGCATAGGCAGCTGTATTTGCCATCTGCTTCTGTTGATTTAAACATATAGAGATTTGCACTCAGCTTCTTTTCCGATGGGAACAGTTTGGTGTGTGCGTCTCTCCTCTAAGCACTCTTAAGGGCTTGGATGAACCATTTAACACATCCATACTTGGCTAGAGAGGTGCTACTTCTTCACAATTAATCATTGCAAGTAGTAGCAATCATCTCTAGAGTGCTATCAGTAAAGAGGAGAGGAAGTAAAGTCGTTTTCTCAAGGGGAGAGGAGAGGTAAAAAGAGATGGAGGCAAAAGCAGTTTATAGACTCTATAATAACAAATTGTAAGTTTTGTGTGTGAGTGAGAGAGGTGTATACACACTTGTACAAGTATAATGTATGCAAGGTATATTTTGAGCAGAGGGTCAGAAAAGAGCAGGTATTTAGCTGTTCTATTTGCTGGTGGTTTATTGTTTAAAACAACCCCCTTCCACAAACGCAGAACTGTGTGTCCCCCCAAATATGTTTGCTTGTGTGTGCTTTTACGGAGGCGAGCAGAAAACAGCAAGCAGGGAAAGAGCGCAAAGCAACCCTTTTCTTCCTGCCAGACCTCAGTTTTATAATCTCAGTAGCTGGAGCAGGTGATGCAGGTTTTCTGTGGAAATTTTTTATTTTCAGTTTGCATCAGGGTTAACATTCTGATGTCCTGGAATGTCAGGTGGGGGAAAATATTTGACTCACAAAACAATGTCTTAAATATGTGAAATATACTCGGAGTCCTGTACTGATTTCATGCTCTTTATTGTAGCTTGTAAAACAGTGATTGAATTGCCCCCCAAACCTCAGGCTTTTATATAAAAGCCAAACCTCAGGCTTTTATATATATAAAAGGATGTCACATAGAGGAGGGAGAAAGGTTGTTTTCTGCTGCTCCAGAGAAGCGGACACGGAGCAATGGATCCAAACTACAAGAAAGAAGATTCCACCTAAACATTAGGAAGAACTTCCTGACAGTAAGAGCTGTTTGACAGTGGAATTTGCTGCCAAGGAGTGTGGTGGAGTCTCCTTCTTTGGAGGTCTTTAAGCAGAGGCTTGACAACCATATGTCAGGAGTGCTCTGATGGTGTTTCCTGCTTGGCAGGGGGTTGGACTCGATGGCCCTTGTGGTCTCTTCCAACTCTGATTCTATGATTCTATATACATTAGTTACACAATGAGTCCTGTCTGATTGGCTGATTCTGCTTCCCTCCTGGAACCTGACTGGTCTTCTCCTGCAAGCCAATCAGTTGTTGCATTCTAGGATCCTACTTGCCTATTGGTCTAGGATCCAAGCTTAGTACATAACAATATGTAACTGCTCTGGATTTTCAAGATGGTTTCAAATGACACAGCACCACCTGGTGGCTGCGTACAACCTTCCAATATGGCAGTTGCATCCATGTGGGGAGCCAGTCGCCTTCTGTAGGGCCTAGAGGTAAACCCAACCGTTGCTAGCCTCTTGGTGACAGCAGTGTGATTGGAATCACCTCACAGCCATGTAGAACCAGGCTGCGTGACGCTACGTGTTGTGTGAAATACAACATTTTGGTTTAGAAGGCAGCCTTAAACAGGGATCCTTACATTTTTTAGTAGTCAGCATCTTATATTAAATATTGCCATGAAATACCAAAAATCTGGAACAAATGTAAAATAGTGAATGGGAGCTGAAGTATTCAAAACCGACCTGGTGCTTGGATAGCATGAGACAATCTTGGGGTTGTGTGTTTTAGCTCCACGTTGAATAATAATAATAATAATAATAATAATAATAATAATAATTTATTATTTATACCCCACCCATCTGGCTAGGCTTCCCCAGTCACTCTGGGCGGCTTCCAACAAAGTATTAAAATACATTAATGCATCAAACATTAAAAGCTTACCTTTTAATGCCTTCAGATGTCTGCCTTCAGATGTCTTCTAAAAGTCTGGTAGCTGTTGTTCTCTTTGACATCTGGTGGGAGGGCTTTCCACAGGGCGGGTGCCACTACCGAGAAGGCCCTCTGCAAATTCCTGCATTTGCAGGGGCTTGGACTAGATCACCCTCGTGGTCCCTTCCAACTCTACAGCTCATGGGTAGGCAAACTAAGGCCCGGGGGCCAGATCCAGCCCAATTGCCTTCTAAATCCAGCCTGTGGACGGTCCAGGAATCAGCGTGTTTTTACAAGAGTAGAATGTGTCCTTTTATTTAAAATGCATCTCTGGGTTATTTGTGGGGCATAGGAATTTGTTCATTTCCCCCCAAACAATATAGTCCGGCCCCCCACAAGGTCTGAGGGACAGTGGACCGGCCCCCAAGTTTGCTGACCCCTGCTACAGCTCTATGATTCTATGAGACACCAACTTTCCCTGTGGGTTCATCTTAACAAATTGCAAACCCTCTCTTTATAAAGACCATAGTTTAAGTAAAGTAAATTATGGAGAGTGGGACGCTCACTTTAAGAAGGGAGAGTGCATGTCTGAATGAACGAATGAAACTTTATTTGCGTCAGCTATCGGCCATAGCAACAAAAGAACATTGCGGTATACACAGAACAAAATAAAATAGTCACATTGCCTTTCCATTCCAGAACTCCTCCGAGGATGAATCCCGGTGGGTTGAAGACCTCTTGAAAATGCACACCGCCAGAGTACGCGACATTGAGCAGCTCACTAGCTTGGATTTCTTCCGGAAGACCAGCCGAAGCTACACAGAAATCCTCTCTTTAAAGACATACCTGCATACATTTGAAAGCGATATTTAACCTTCCTCTTTAAACTCAGCCCATCCATCCTCTCATGAAGTGGTGTATATTTTTATATTATATTTATTAATTTGAAACAGGACATTAAAATTATTAGTCGTATTTTTTGTTTGTTTGTTAATCTTGCATCAAATCTTAAAATATATTAAAGTCTTGTGTCAGTTGTTTTTGATTTTATTTTATTTTTAACATAGGGTGTATGTTTTGGTCTCTCCCTGTCTGCCTTCCCTTGCCCCCGAGCTGAGATTTTTTGAGTGCTTGCTGACACTCAAGTCTCTTGGTCAAAGCTTTTTCAAATGGTGCTGCAGAGTTGATTAATTACTTGGAGGAAACCTTTTAATTTTTCCAGCACTCCCTTACCTTCTGGTTTTGTTTTTTGTTTTTTGTTTAGTCCTGTACTGTGTATCAAACATGTAAAATGACAATTACTGTTAACTATGTGATAGACATATTTAAGCTCCATAGAGAATAGAAACTTAAATATAATAAAACCACACATTCAGGTTTTTTTTACTTTGTGTTCCTTTCTCGCACAGTGTTTTGAAATTCTGGATGTCAGATTCTTTCCCCTTAGGTTGGGTTTCCAGTCTGTTACTCTGTGGCTCCAACAGGACGTAAACTTACTGCATGGACTTAAATATGACCCTCCAGTTTTAAATGCAGCAGACTAAACATCTGTAGAAAAAATAAATTAATTCAGGTAACATGGTGAGGTCAGGGGGTGGAGCCCTAAACCAGTGTTCCCCAACCTTGGGCCTCCAGCTGTTTTTGGACTACAACTCCCATCATCCCTCGCTAGCAAGACCAGTGGTCAAGGATGATGGGAATTGTAGTCCAAAAACAGCTGGAGGCCCAAGGTTGGGGAACACTTCCCTAAACCAGGCTTCCTCAACCTCGGCCCTCCAGATGTTTTTGGCCTACAACTCCCACGATCCCTAGCTAGCAGGACCAGTGGTCAGGGGTGATGGGAATTGTAGTCTCAAAACATCTGGAGGGCCGAGGTTGAGGAAGCGTGCCCTAAACCCTTTGTAATGCTGCTGTCACTCTCAAGAAGCCCTGCCCAGGGATAGGGGGATAAAATTGATTCAATTCACATTGATAGGCAAATCTCTACCTAATTCACACTTCCCAAAGCATTACATGAACCAAAATGCAGCCATCTTTGAAATTTGCACTTCTCTGAATTCTGAGGTGCAAGTTATCCAGCCCAAGGAATATCTACAAAATTACATATATTAGGGTAAAGTGAGCGTAAAAGTGCATGTGTTAGTAAAAAGAACCTACAAAAATGCATTATATTATGCAAACTTTCCTTTGCCAAACTATGCATGTTGAGAGAAATTAATACTAAAATGATGATGGATTTCAGAGTGGAGCAACTAAGACAGACAAATTCACTCATCCCTAATATAGAAGGGCACCCTAATTCCTTTGTGCAGAGCAAATCCTGGGTTTGCTGGAACTTGACGTGACCCGATATACCGTGGTACCTCGGGTTACATACGCTTCAGGTTACATACGCTTCAGGTTACAGACTCTGCTAACCCAGAAATAGTACCTCGGGTTAAGAACTTTGCTTCAGGATGAGAAAAGAAATCGTGCTTCGGCGGCGCAGCGGCAGCAGGAGGCCCCATTAGCTAAAGTGGTGCTTCAGGTTAAGAACAGTTTCAGGTTAAGAACTGACCTCTGGAATGAATTAAGTACGTAACCACAGGTAGCACTGTATTGCCATGTATCCCTAATCCAGCCTGCCTACGTTTTCCTCTGGCCATGCTTGCCATGGCATTCAGAAGGTGGGGAATGTGGACCTCAATTTGAAAAGGATTCCTTGCCACTGTCCTACCAGGAATGATCCAGTTCAGCCCTCCAGCTACCTGGGGAAGGAACTGAATAGTGATGTTTAGGGCTCCTGGGAAAGAGGATGCAAGAAGTGAGGAAATGGCACCCATATTTCTTTCCAATGTTCCTGAAACCCTACACTGCTGTGGTGTGCTTCAAGGCTCAAAATGGCGGCTAGCCATGAAGGGGAGTTTTCTAGAGATGGGAAATAGGATCTCTGTCCCCCTTTATCCTTGCAACCACGCTCACTATTGTGCTCTCTATAACCTCCATGTTGCAGATCCACTTAACCCTAATTCCTTCAGGATACTGTCCATCCCTCTTTTCCTTTTAAACTTGTTTCCATTTTCTCTTCTGTACTTGACACCCTCAACATTTTGTCAGCCCAGGAAGCAACTGGATACAGGCCCTAATAATAATAATAATAATAATAATAATGTACAAACCAACATTCTCAGAGTATGTGAAAACCATGGTTTGTTTCATGTGCCCTGCTTGCAAATTGATAAGCACTTCACTATATAAACTTGATATTTAGAGGGAATGCTGAATTCTGACAGACGTCTGTGTGTTTACAAGAGAATAGGTGTCGGACATTTTGTGGTCATCCCTCCCTCATTTATGAGTGGGTGGGTGGTGTTTTTAATAGAGTAGTAAAGAACTCTACATCATTTCCAAATACAGGAGAACATTATATAATCTATGGCTGTGTATTCGCCATACATTGGAAACTAGTTTGTTAAGGGTGCTGGGAATTGTAGTTTTGTAAGGAGTAAACTACAGTTCACAGGCATATTTGCGGGAAGTCATGTTCTTTGAATTATGGTATAAATGCAGCCTAATTCTCCACACCAAGGCAGGGTTTTCTGTTCTCTGTTCCCTAGCATACTGGCCAGTTCCATCTCGAATTAAAGCATGCTGTGTTAGTTTTAACAAGGGATAACAGAGATTTTAATTGGCACCTATGCTGACCGGGTCTCGTAGTGCTACTCAATGAATGAATAATAATGTTTTCATGTCCCAAAGTAATAAGGTTGCCCACGGAAACTCTAGCCAGGTCAGTTTTCTTTGGAAGAGAAAGCACTAGAGGCAAAATTACTGCATTAATAAATAAATAAAAACCCCAGGTAATTACACACTTGCAATATTTCACAGATAAAAGTAGAGACACTCTTTGGTGTACTTGCAACACACTTATTTACAGCTAGACTGCATGTGATGCTCATTTGCATTATTTCCCAGAACATTTTTAAAGAAGATAGTCCTGAGGGAAGCATTGAATGAGAGCACAAAGAGCACGGGTGGGAGGTTGTGCTTGACCCCTTCCATTCCCATCATTTGATTATTCAAAAGCCCTTCTCAAGCTGGTTTTCCATATGAGGAAAAGACACATGACCCCGCTTGGTGAAAAGCAGCTTGGGGAACAGCAGAAAGAAAAATGAGTAAACCACACCTCTCCGCCATCTGTGCTTTTATTTGCAGCCACCAAGACTGCTTTGTGTCTTAAAAAAGCAAAAGCTAAACATTGCAAAACAGTCGTACCTTGGTTCTCGAATGCCTTGGTACAAGTACATTTTGGCTCCTGAACGCCCCAAACATGGAAGTAGTGTTCTGGTTTTCAAATGTTTTTTGGAAGCCAAACATCCGACACAGCTTCTGCTTGAGTACAGGAAGCTCCCACAGCCAATCAGAAACCGTGTCTTGGTTTTCTAACAGTTTGGGAGTCGAATGGACTCCCGTAATGGATTAAGTTTGAGGACCAAGGTTCCACTGTATGCTGATACATCACAATGACTGAAATAAGGATAGAGCTATGTATGTAGACGCGGGTGGCACTGTGGTCTAAACCACTGAGCCTAGGGCTTGCTGATCAGAAGGTAGGTGGTTCGAATCCCCACGACGGGATGAGCTCCCGTTGTTCGGTCCCAGCTCTTGCCAACCTAGTAATTCGAAAGCATGTCAAAGTGCAAGTAGATAAATACGTACCGCTCCGGCGGGAAGGTAAATGGTGTTTCCGTGCTTAGTCATGCTAACCACATGAGCTGGAAGCTGTAAGCCGGCTCCCTTGGCCAGTAAAGCGAGATGAGCACCGCAACCGCAGAGTCACCCGCGACTGGACTTAACGGTCAGGGGTCCCTTTACCTTTATGTATGCAGAAGCAATGGCTAGCTTCATGGTTTCCCCTACATTGTGATTTTTGCGTTAACACACACCCATCAAGATTGGCAATATATTAGCAGGTCAAAAATTATGAAACCAATAGTGCGATATGGACTTGAAATCAGTTTCGGACGATAAATCGCCCAGCCCAATCGTAACTATATAAATATGGTGAAAAACAAATTCATCAAACCGTTAATACATCTCAATGCAAACTAATCGTGATTCAGAAGATCAGAAACAGCTGCTAAGTACCAGCCCTATCCCAGTTGACATGACACTCTCTGCAAAAGGACTTCTTCACCCAGAAGAAAACACACTCCCAGGCCACACGATCTCCCATAGTTATCAGCCTCAAATAAAGAGTTTACATAACTCTTTTATAAAGACATTAAAAATAACACTTCTATGTTGTCTTCAGAGAAGTGAGGCAACATGTTCTATAGAAGATATAGAGCATCTACCATGCTTTTTCTCCATGTGGGATAGTTAAGATAACACCTTTCCACAGCCCCTTTTGGAAGACTGATTGATCGATCGATTGATTCTATTTCTTTGCCGCTTTTCATTCAAATAAATCTCAAAGCGGCTTACAAACAAAAGATAAAAATAACATAATGGAACATCACGAATACAGCATAAATTGTATAGAATACTTAACAAGTCATCAGTAAGACAATCACAAATAAAACAATTACCATCTACGTAACACTATTAACAGAACAACTAAAAAATAAGCTAAACATCACAGTTACACCAATTACAGGATTCACAAAGTACGACAGCATTCATATCTATAAAACAGTATTAAAACATTAACAAAATAGCAACAAAACAAACAAACAAAGCCCTGTTGAATTTGTTGAAGAGTATTCTGGACTCTCTCCTTGCAGGGACACAAGCCCCAGACAGCAAGAGATGTGTCCATGTGATAGCCCAACTATATTATTAGACGGCCCTTTTCACTCCGTTTTATAGGGGGAAGTGCAAATATTCTCAATTTCTGAGGACATTCGGTGGTCTGACTAATCCTTATTAAAGGAGACATCCCAGCGGGCCTGTGATTATAGACCTCCTATTAAAGTGAGCATTGATTCTCGCAGACATGGATTAAAAGCACAGAGCTCCCCTCAGAAAAGTGCCAGCAGTTGACTGCGATACACTTCGCCTTTGGACGGGAACCGCAGTTTCCAGTTTTGAAAGTCTGTCTGTCTCACCATGTTCTTGGCAAAGGGCTTGGCCGTTTGCTCACAGCTCCTAACCCGGCACTAAAAATAATGCCGATTGATTTTCCAGAAGCAGAAAATATACCGCTGAAAACAACCTTTGATCTTCAGAAATAGGTCTGAGGCCCGGGCGCACATAAATTACTTGCCTTTTGTGCATCTGCTGTCTGGAAAAGTAATTGTACGTTTCGGCAGCTCGGCTGTGAGTGGGCTTCTTTGTTTGTGTCTTAACCATTCACAGGTGGCTAGTTTCTACACACACACACACGCACGCAACCCTTT